CTCTGTTCCTTGTTTACAAGAAACAGTACGTACGCCTGTTAATCTGGTGTCTACACTGCAAATGTTCTTTTTATTTGGTACTATGTAAATTGCCCACATGTTTGGTCTTCTGCTGGTGTGACATGAATCTAGTCATCTACTTTCTAGAATAGCAATATTTTCGCATGTGGCTGTGTTACTTGGGGACAACTGGAATGCACTGGTTGCAATACCCATCCCACCCCGCTTAAAAAAGACACTATTAAAGTGATGACACAATTATACCTACCTCCTTCAGAACACTCAAATAAATAGATAATACAAATGTGCTTTTACTGCATTTCTAGTCTTTTATAATTGCAATCAACCAACAATATTGTTGAAAGCAGAATGTTGAAAGCAGAAACTCTCAATACTGCCACCAATAGTGATTATAAAGGTAAAGGTAAAGGGACCCCTGACCATCAGGTGCAGTCGTGGCCGACTCTGGGGTTGCGGCACTCATCTCGCTTTACTGGCCGAGGGAGCCAGCGTACACTTCTGGGTCATGTGGCCAGCATGACTAAGCCGCTTCTGGAGAACCAGAGCAGCACACAGAAACGCCGTTTATCTTCCCGCCCCATTTCTTGCCCCAGTGTTTCCCAGTCTGGGCTACACCCTTTGCCGCGATCCTCTTCCTCTTCTTCATAGTCCTTCCAGAAGAAGAAGAAAAAGAAGAGTTTGGATTTGATATCCCACCTTCCACTCCCTTTAAGGAGTCTCAAAGCGGCTAACATTCTCCTTTCCCTTCCTCCCCCACAACAAACACTCTGTGAGGTGAGTGGGGCTGAGAGACTTCAAAGAAGTGAGACTGGCCCAATGTCACCCAGCAGCTGCATGTGGAGGAGCGGAGACGCGAACCCGGTTCCCCAGATTACGAGACTACCGCTCTTAACCACTACACCACACTGGCTCCAGTTCATGACACTACCAGATCAGGGATTCCACTGAACAATGCCAGCACCTGCCCCCTCCACACCTTCTTGTGTATGTCCACGAGTCCCAGTGATGACCAGCCACCACTTATCCTGCACTGTAACTCGCACTGCTGTGAGGGTCCATATAAGGCAGCTTCCCATATTTCATGCTCAGCCATTTAGCTATTGATCCTCCTCTGGGTTTGAGGACATTCACAGGGAAACCAAATTGCTTGTTTACAGAGCTATTGTAAAAAGGTCAAGTGTGTTCTCCTTCATGGAGAGCACGTGTTGCAGTGGGGGCTAACAAGACACCCCACTGTTGCTGGGCGGGTCTAAATTTGTTGACCACTGTTGCGATTTGGCTTCCCTTGTTGTTGGGAAGATTTTGATGTTGCCATTCTGTGATTGACAGCCAGAAGCGTTAAAAGCCTCTGCGCGCAGCCTCTTTTCACTGCGTGCATTGGATTGCCCTCCCTCCCTATTAATTAGGGTTGTTCGTGTTGACCTTGCTATGCCTGTCATGGGGCCGTCTGCTTTTGGGGCAGGGGCCCAGTAGGAATTTTGTCCAATTGGCTGATTGGCTGGAGCCAATTGGTTTTTGCCTACTGCGTAGCAAATCGTCACAACTTGTAAGGTTGCGGTTCTATGAATTGGTTGGTGGAGGGGCATGGATTGGCTGTACCTGCCCCTCTAATGCTGCTGCTACAAGGGTTTTCCATTAAAGGAACCCAGGGGCTCGCCATGCTTTTGTCCGAACCCCTGTCAAGGGGCTAGGGCCACGCAAGAGCCCCTGGGAGCATTTGGGGGAGAGCTGAGAGAAGGTGCCCTTTTCCATCGTTCTCCCCAAAATGTCTTTCCCTTTCTGACTTTGCAGTCATGCGAATGTCAGGCTGTCCCCATGCGGGGACAGATAGTCATAACCAATGCCTAAGCAACCACTCACATTTTGTATTTTAATAAAGTTGTGGCCAAAATTATGCCAAAAACCTTAAACAAAAACTCTGTGTGAATTGTGTTTTATTGGGGTGGCTTGGGGACCTCGACACGCAAAAAGGTAAAGGACCCCTGGACGGTTAAGTCCAGTCAAAGGTAACTATGGGGTTGCGGAGCTCATCTCACTTTTCAGGCCGAAGGAGCTGGCGTTTGTCCACAGACAGCTTTCTGGGTCATGTGGCCAGCAGGACCTAAACAGCTTCTGGTGCAATGGAACACCGTGACAGAAACCAGAGCGCACAGAAACACTGTTTACCTTCCCGACGCAGCGGTACCTATTTATCTACTTGCACTGGCATGCTTTCAAACTGCTAGGTTGGCAGGAGCAGGGACAGAGCAACGGCAGGTCACCCCGTTGCAGGGATTCGAACCGCCAATAGCATACAAAAAGGGCTCTTACCAAACTGACTGAGTGCCCTAACTAGTCCCTTACTCACTTATAGACATCTGCCTCCTACAGTTGTCATTAGCTCATCAGCCATATCCTCAGTACCATGTGTTATGGCTTAACAAGGCAGCTTTATCACAACAAAATTCCAAAGAACAGTGAGCAGAAGAAAAGTGGTTTCAGACACTGGTTCCAGAAACTCTTGTGCAAGAAGAATTTGTTGACAGCTATGGATATTGTTGGGACTACAACTCTCACAATCTTTCCTGCCTAGGACTGATGAGAATTGTAATTCTGCAACATTTGGAGAACAGCAGATGTTAGCCTGAATGATGTCTACATGGGCCCAGAACCTATATGCGTGCCTGTACAGAAGGCATGAAGAAGACATCTATAAATTTGGGACATGTTTTTGTTTTAACTTCTTCCCAAATGATCCCAAGTTAGGGGTGAGCCATGGGGTAGCTAAGTTTGCTGATGATACTAAATTATTCAGAGTGGTTGAAACAAAAAGGGGATTGCGAGCAACTCCTTAGTAAAGGTAAAGGGACCCCTGACCATTAGGTCCAGTCGTGGCCGACTCTGGGGTTGCGGTGCTCATCTTGCTTTAGAGCAACTCCTTAAAAACCACCTTTAAAAACTTTTAACTAATACGTTCATTTTCAGGCACATTTTCCTCTACGAAATTCCGTAAACATTGGTTGCAGAACTACACCACAAATTTTGGAAATGGGCAAATTTTGAAAGATGACTGTGTTTCAGTTCTCAAAATTGTTTCGGAATTTGATCATTTGGCTTTAAATACAGACTGAAAGGAATCCCACCTCATCTCTGCTTGAATGACAACATACAGTGTGTTGGGTGGAACAAATTGAGATTGCTTAGTGTGATGGATTATGGCTTGTTGCTCCCAAGCAAGCTATTATCACAAGCCTGCAGCAAACCACAGCACTAGTAAACAATAAACCAGGATTCCTAACTTATCCAATCTTACTTGAACCACAGTGTGAATGATCAGTGTGCTGGCACAATCCACCTGTTTGTTGTTGCTTCACTCATCCCTTTGCATGGGTGGGTAAAAAGCAGCATTGCCCAGACTGATATCTGGACTCTGGTTTGTTCCTCTCGAGCAAGTCAGGATTGAAAGCCAGCAACAAACCAGAGTGAGCATGAACAGCTACCTGAATAAAGAGATGCTACAGAGAAGTCCAAACCAGCAACAAATTTGAGTTTAATGATTTCATTCCATTCATGGCCATCAGGAGGGCAAGTACAGGAAAGGAGATACTTTGCTGGGGGTGGGGTGGGAGGAATGAAGCAATGGGGGAGCAAGAGATAACCAGAGACAGGCAAGGTGTGGAATAAGGGAAATAAGAAAATACACGATGAATAAAGGTTCGAAAGGGTTGGAGGAGAAATGGCTGGCTGGAGATGAAGAATGGGCAAATAAAAGTAAGGAATCGAAGGAGAAGATGGGTTTGGGTATTAGGCTAAAACACAAGAGGCACAAAATGGCATGAATCAGTGCAAATACTGAAGTGTTTGGAAAAAACGGAGGTTATTTATACTTTTCATGGAATGATAAAACATTTAAAGTGTGTGCAAAACTGCTTTAAGTTGAGTAGAACTTTCAAGGCATTCTGTCCATCAGAAGATATGGCCTTGCTAAATCTTTGGAAACGAAAGACCACATATGAAAAAATATGAAGACGAGAAAGAGGATCCATTCCACGAACTTCATACGCCACATCTGGTTTCCAGAAAACACAGCCATTTAACAACAAAAAACCCAAACTCATCACCATTGATTGCAGCTGACTAATGGTGAGAAGGAGGACAGAGGTGCCTGGCGTGCTCTGGTCCATGGGGTCACGAAGAGTCGGACACGACTAAACGACTAAACAACAACAACAACAATGGTGAGAAGTCAGTTTTCTCTTCAATGCCAGGTTGTCCTCTTTCAGTCATCTGAAAAATATCGAAAGCAGACATTGCGGGAAAATGAACAGGAAAATGTAGGATAGCCTTTGGTTTGGATGATGTTTTTGGATCCTTTCCAAGCCTGCTTTCCAGGTTATGTGGCCAGCATGACTAAACTGCATCTGGTGCAACGGGACACCGTGATGGAAACCAGAGCGCACATAAACGCCGTTTAATTTCCCGACACAGCGGTACCTATTTATCTACTCACACTGGCATGCTTTCAAACTGCTAGGTGGGCAGGAGCTGGGACAGAGCAACAGCTCACCCCGTCCGGGGATTCGAACCGCCAACCTTCCGATCAGCAAGCCCAAGAGGCTCAGTGGTTTAGACCACAGCACCACCTGTGTCCCAAGCATAATGTCATAACCATTAGCTATAAACAGTTCAGATCCGAATGATTGGATTCTTCCTCATCCCGTGAAATGGATCAACAACTCTGGCCCCCTCCCTAAGAGTATGCTTAAGTGCACCCTTTTATTTTCTCTCCTATAAGTGAATAGTCCCCTTAACTCCTGTAGAGAAACCTGCAGCCCTGTGCTTGGGGAAAATCTTGACGCAAGGGCAAAAACCTACCCTCCATTCCCGATACTAGGTGACCATGGGGAAGGATTCTGCAGGGAATGCAATGCATACATATTTGTTGATGATGAGGGGCACTTTTCTAATTTATAATAATCTTTACAAATAAGTGGCTGGACTTACATGAGACTGAGACTCCTTGAAGTGTATCTCGATTTTTGAGAGGTGACCTTGTTACATTTTATTCGGAGTTCAGCTGGCGGATAGCTGTTGATTCCACCTGTTGTGACAAAAAGACACAGGGATGAACCTTTTCAAAGTTTGGAAATAGATTTTGCCATGATTAGGGTGTACTTTCATATTTCCCCTCCTATCACCAGTGTGGTGTAGTGGTTAAGAGCGGTAGACTCGTAATCTGGGGAACCGGGTTCGCGTCTCGGCTCCTCCACATGCAGCTGCTGGGTGACCTTGGGCTAGTCACACTTCTCTGAAGTCTCTCAACCCCACTCACCTCACAGAGTGTTTGTTGTGGGGGAGGAAGGGGAAGGAGAATGTTAGCTACTTTGAGACTCCTTCGGGTAGTGATAAAGCGGGATATCAAATCCAAACTACTACTACTACTACTACTACTCTTCTTCTTCTTCTTCTTCTTCTTCTTCTTCTTCTTCTTCTTCTTCTTCTTCTTCTTCTTCTTCTTCTTCTTCTTATCCTGAAAGTCCTAATGATTGCATCTGGCCCTGGCCCTACACCAAAATACAGTTTCCAGTCCCTCCCTCTAATTCTTTTAGCTCACACATGCAATTATTCTTCAAGATCATGTGTCAAGGACAGTGCTGAGGAGAGCTGCACAGATTAGGAAGGGTGGGAGCCTCCCCCTCTCCCTGCTACCGATCAGGATCCTGACTCTTCCCAGGAGCTGTGGGACAGTATAGATTTGGAACAGTGGTTCGCAGAGGGACATAGTTCAGAAGACAAAAGTTGGGAAGAACTGGGTGGTGAACAGTTAGGAGAAGAAGAACAAGGAGAGAGAGAGTTAACAGACTCCGGTTCGCTGCAAAGTGTCCAGCCGATCAGTCCGAGGTCACAGAGATTAGATAAGGTAGCTACACAGAAGGCATAGTGGTTGCGAGACCAAGTTGCAGGACGAGGAAGTGGCAAGGGGTGACTCGGGTGGGGGAGTGGGTGTAAACCTTAACTGGGAGCACCTTTACTCTGAGAATGGGCTCTCTGTTCTTTCGCCGTGATCATTAAAATCTCTTTAAATGGTAAGAGACTATTTTTGCTTTGTTCTGCTTATCCATGGCCAAAGGAGGGGGGAGCCGCTTCCCCGAAGGCTGACATCATGCATATCTCTGGTTATTGTGAAGAAGGAATGCACGGAAGATATGAAACACTTTAGGGGAGGTAGGAAAGGACCCATTTTGTAAATGGTTGCTGGGAAGTGATTTCCTGAGTGGGGTGGAGTGGAACTACTTGTAGTTTACTGACAATGGAGGTGGTTTCATGCTTATCTTTCAAAGAGAAGCCCTGGGGATTTTTATCTGTGTGGGTTGTAGGCCATTCCTTTGTAAGTCCTCTGTGGGAAAAGCTGTTGCATATGCTTAAAGGGACTGGTATAGCATCTATCCTTTTTTTTATATAAAAAACAGAATTCTTGCATGGACACTTTAGGCATATTTTTGCATTTTGTTTTCTTTTTGTTATCTGGTTTTTAACTGATTGTAGATATTTTGTATTTTACATTTCAATACTTTTTAAATATACGAAGCGATGAATAAATGCAATAAATGATAAATAATAAAATTTACCGCTCAGTTGTGATTTCTGCTTAAGATTTCTATGCCATGGATTCACAGACGGGGGCTAATAATTTATTGCTATAAAATGGGCTCAGTGTCCTCAAAATGGGTTAGATCAGCCTTTCTCAACTTGTGGGTCCCCAGATGTTGCTGAACTGCAACTCCCATCACCCCTAGCTAGCAAGGCCAGAGCTTAGGGATGATGGGAGTTGTAGTACAACAACATCTAGGGACCCACAGGTTGAGAACCACTGGGTTGGATGCTACGCTGTGCTTATTTCACTTGCCACGTAGTTCATGCTCTGCCTTGATGCTTTTATCATCAGAAACCATCCACCTGTAGTTGCAGTTCCCATTTACTGCTTGCAGCAAAACTGAGTGTGGATTCTGTCGGTCCACCATTACCCACCCGGCCTTGCTGTTGGTATGGCAGACTTCACCCCAGTATCACTCTGTCTTGCGCAGGAGGGTCTATTTTCATCAGTGGAATGTCTGGTTCTAGTATCCTAGAACTTCTCCTGATCATGGGGTAGCTAGGAATGAGTAGGTTTCTTGTGGGTGGAGAAGGAAGCAGGGTCACATTCCACCAGAAGAGAGAAGAGAGACAGAACAGTTGTGAAAGAGCATCTCCACCTCCATCGTTCAGCCTGGACACTGAGGTCCAGCTCCGAGGGCCTTCTGGTGGTTCCCTCACTGTGAGAAGTGAGGTTACAGGGAACGAGGCAGAGGGCCTTCTTGGTGGTGGCGCCCGCCCTGTGGAATACCTTCCCTTCAGATATCAAGGAAATAATCAACTATCTGACTTTGAGAAGACATCTGAAGGCAGCCCTGTTTAGGGAAGTTTTTAATGTTTGATGTTTTATCGTGTTTTTAATTTTCTGTTGGGAGCTGCCCAGAGTGGCTGGGGAAACCCAGCCAGATGGATGGGGCATGTATAAATAAATAAATAAATAAATAAATAAATAAATAAGGATGCTGTAAGCAGAGAAAACTGTTCTCTCGCCTCTTTTCCAAGTCTGCTGGCCAATCAGAACAGTAGAGGGCCAGACCAGCAAAGAGACACTCAGGAGGCCTTGATAATGTCTAATCTGGCACAGAAGGGTATGAAGAGCCCAGAAGATCTCCGTAAGTGTGCTACAGAAACAGAACAAACTTAAAAACAACAGAGAGATGGAAAGCCGTGAGCTCTTTCAAAACCACCTATCGATAACTTACTCCGAAGGTAAGGAATACTGGCAAAAGATTATAAAGGTAATTTCTGGATTATTTCAAATAAACATAGAAGTTAATAGGGATTTGTTATTTTCGGGAATACTGGGAAATAACCAAGTAAAGAGTAATAAGCAAGAGTTGTACAAGATTATGATTCTAGCTGGAATGGCAGTTATTGCTTTGGGATGGAAAGAAAAGGCCAAATGGAATATGGAAAAATGGAATGATTATGTTTTTGAATACGTACAATCAGAACTATTCGCACACATAGTGGCAGAGGATAGATGGGAAAATAAATGCCAAAGAATCACAAATAAATGGGCATTTTACAGGAACTGGATACAAAGAGGTGAAGCCAACCCTAACATACAAGCTCGAATGAACAGACTGTGTACATGGATAAAGATATGAAGAAGGAAGGCCAGACGGGGGACGGGGAGGGCTGGAGTGGGGAGGGAGGGGAAAGGGGGGGGGGAAGTAAACCGGATGGTATTTTGAATGGATTTTGTTATGTAAGCCTTTTCTTTGGAAACCATATATATTAATGTTATGTAGTTAGGCATTGTAGTATGAATGAATTTTGTCTGTATTCTTTGTTTTATAGAATATATATAATAATGTTATGGTACTAAGCAAATTTAATAAAACAGGAAAAAACACACAAAACACACACACACACACACAAAACTTACTCCGAAGGAGGTATAGAAAGGGTTTCAGGAACCTAAGCGCGTATTCCAGTTCAGGCTTGTGAATCCTGCCAAGCTGAATCAAATGCTGCTCCACGGGTCGACTTGCCAGCTCCTCAAGTTCTGTGCCATTGTACTTAGGTCCCAAGGAGAGTACCAACAGGGCATAGCCTTGGCACTTGGCTCTCAGAGACGCTTTCTTCAACACTTCCTTATCCCAGCGACTCGTTTCCCCAGCGGATACAATGATGAGAGCCTTGTGTTTCCTCGGGTTGGGAGATGCTGAGAAAACGTTGTTGATCGTCCACTGGATGGCATGGCCCAGGGCAGCTTCTCCACCCAGCTGCCGAAGGGATTCCCGGATATGTCTTTTCATTGACTGCGTCTTGCCGTAAGTCACCAAGTCGAACTCTTTTTTTGCCGGCGGTTGCTGTGTCTGGGGCTTGAAAGCTGGCGCAGCGTGGCTCACCACAGCCACCCTGTCGCCCACAGAAGAAACCGCGGGCTCAGAGGAGACCTCAAAGGCGTCAAGTGCGCTGCTTAAGAATCCTTTCAGTTTCTCAAATTCGCCGGGATTCATTGCCTGTGAGGTATCCAAATGAAAGCCGTGTCCACATATCCCCAAGGCGGAAGAGATCTTCTGGTACGTTTGCAGGCATCATTTGGTTTGCATTTATCTGGAAACGAACACATGTTTCAGACATCGGTTTACAAACTGCACCATGTGGGATGTGATACATAAGCAGCAGTCAAGTACAACATTCCTTGTTTTCCTAGAGTGGACATGTGAGGGAATGTTTGGTCCAGCCAGTCGAAAACTTCCTGTTTCTTCCTGGCTGGGACATACCGTATTTTTCACTCTATAAGATGCACATTTTCCCCTCCAAAAATTAAGGGGAAATGTGTGTGCATCTTATGGAGCGAATGCAGGCTCCTTGGCTTCAGCGATAGCAACGCGAACCTCCGAAGCACAGTGGGAGTGGTCCCACCGCACTCCGGAGGCTTCGTGTTGCTTTCGCTGAAGCCTGGAGAGCGAGAGGGGTCGGTGTGCACTGTCCCCTCTCGCTCTCCAGGCTTCAAGGATAACCGCCTGAAACCTCCGGAGAGCGACGGGAGCTCCCGCTGCACTCCAGAGGCTTCGGGTTGCCTTCACTGAAGGGTAGGTGTCCCTTTAGCTAAGGCGCAGCGCCCCTTCAGCTAAGCAGGAGGAGAAATGGAAGGGGCTCCACTTCTCCTGCTGCTTCGCTGAAGGGGAGCTGCACAGAGGGTGAGATTTTTTTTTCTTGGTCTCCCCCTCTAAAACAAGGTGCATCCTATGGTCAGGTGTGTCCTATAGAGCGAAAAATACAGCACTTTCTTTGCATGTGACTAGAGGTGGGTGTGACCTTACCTGTTCAGGTAACAAAAGGACAAGGCACACAGCTCTCTCTCTCTCTCTCTCTCTCTCTCTCTCCCTTCTACGTTGGACCAGCTTTTTAGCTTGAGATGCTCTGTTGGTTTTTCAGCCAACAAAGGACACTGGGATCATTCTTTCATATGGGGTAGAACCACATGCATATACTTTGTAACTAAGTTTCAGGGATCCAACTGTGAACTGATGATGTGAGTAAACTTCTTTTATGAACTTTAAAATTTTTTGGCATTTGTTTATTCTTTTAAGAGGGATATAAGGGAACTTACCAGGAACCTAATAGTGAGAGGCTTACACAAGGCTGCAGCCAGCTACCCGCTAGCGCAAGTTATGAAGGATATTAATAAACAATATATCCTCTGCTGCTTCCCTGAACATTCCCCCGCACAAGGGGGTAGGTAGCCTCCTGGAAACTAATGGAACGCTCCAAAAAAAGGAAAGAATTCTCCTCAGGATTGAATTGGCTCACAGCCTCCATTGGGGAAGTGCTGAGGAGATTGAGTTACGTTCCTTTCTAGTGCTTGGCTGGACTCAGAGTTGTTGAGATATCTATATAAATTTAGGTAAATATTCATATAAATTATAAAACGTCAGGGTTGGTTGGCGTACAAAATTCGCAGAAAGCGTAACATCCCATAAAAATGGTACAGAATACCAGAATGACCATTGTGACCATTCCTGCATTCTATCAACACTGGGAACTTTGATTATCTAAAGTCTCCCATGCACTCCTATACTCATTATTTGAGAGTCACAATTCCAAATATCGAGACAATTCTTTCCTTATTTTAATATTACCCATGTCAAATGCAACCCGTGAAAGCTCGTTCAACACCCTTAAACGAGTACCAAATTTACATCTCTACTATATCCCAATAGCATATAACAAGCTCAGCAATTTCGCAATAGAAGGTTCTGCACTGCAAGATGTAAATTGGGACAAGTTAGCCAATGATTTCATGAGAAGGAAATGTTGAAGAAAATTGCTTGAATATCTGTTACTATTATATGAAAATACTTGAATTTAATTCATTTTGTTCCGTTTAAATAAAGTTCATTTTTGGATGAAGAGACATCTTTTCTATCTCTATGTACGTATATCATTAATTTTAAACAACAGCTCAGTCAGTAGAGCATGAGAATCTTAATCTCAGGGTCTCAAAGTTGTGGGTTCGAACCCCATATTGGGCAAAAAGATTCCTGCATAGAAGGGGGCTGGACTAGATTATTCTCACGGTCGCTCCAGTACTACAGTTCTATAATTCTACTGTTTAATCATATAATAGTGAAAAAATCAACCTAAAATCAGTGAATCTAAATAAATAAAAGTTTAGATGCGTTTTTCTTAGTTGCTCCTCTGGCTCACTCATCAACTGTTTTAAAATCAGCCCCACCCCCTGGAAAAATCCTTACAATAACCGCTTGATTGCTCTTTTTCAAAACCTTTAATCAATACTACATTTCTGGTAAGTTTAACTTCCATCTGATGCCTTGATTTCCATCGCGTGTCAATTTGCATTACCGTAAGAAGGGCGTAGTAGTCAGACGGTTTGCTCATCAACCCTCCTTCTCACAGAGCTTTTCTCCTAAAACACCAGAGATTTCTGCCAAGCTCTGTCAGTCTTATGGCTCATCATGATCAAATAAACATGTTTCTTGGAAATTATAATTGCAAGAAGATTATGCTTCGTACCATAACAAAGAGTGCACAGCTGGAGTCCCTGTAAAAACAATGTGTAATCGCCTTTGCTTGGAATGTGAAGGGTTTGAAACTGTCCGGAATCATCCATCTAGAAAGAAAAAATGAGAAGGAGGATAAAAAACTTCAGATAATAATAATAATAATAATAATAATAATAATAATAATAATAATAATAATATCTTGTGAACTGCCCTGAGACCTGCGGGTATAGGGTGGGATAACAATAACAATAACAAGATTTATTCCCCACCCATCTGGCTGGGGTGCCTCAGTTGCTCAAGCCGGCTTCTAACACATATAAAAACATAATAAAACACCAAACATTAAAAACTTCCTGATGCAGGGCAGCCTTTGGGTGTCTTCTAAAAGTTGTGTAGTTCTTTATGCCTTACGCATAAAGTGTTTTGTGTTGTGTAGGCCCCTATGATGTAAGTAATGAGCCCCGCCTGCTAGCCTGCTCCCTAAAATATCACTGGTTTGCTCATTTCTATATATAGGGTGCCTACATTCTGCATGGAACTGGTTGCATGACAACATGTGCAAATGGCTTTAGATACCTACTAGGTCCATAAATTACCATATAGCATGTATTCAACACAAATAACAGTGACAATTTGTTTATGACAAATGACAGCTGGACATATAAAGGGCCCCATTACATCGTCAGTAGTTTAGGGCTTCATCAAACCTGGCTACCATAAATACAGAGCAAAACATAATCGCCAAATGCAAAAGAAGGAAAAGACCATAGTTCTCACCGCAAAGGAACGATGGAGCTGGGTGATGTTATTAAATGCAATGACCACCGGAAGGATCTCTAAGGCACTGTATTCAAGGACAGCTGTGTTGAAGGAATTTGGATCTGCAGTCTGACCGTGGCTGAAAAAGACAGCAACTTTTCTCAAGTTAGCACCTTGGAGAGTTCTCTTGAAGGCATTCCTGGCCACAAACCTCATCGATGCACCCGTGTCCCGTCTGCTTGCTGCTCTCTGGTAAGAAAGTGCCTTGAGCTCTTGAAGCAAGCGTTCCTTGCTGCGGAAATCTGAGAAGCGGATCAGATAGCGGGTGCTAGAGCTGTAGGACACGACACCCACCCTGGCTCCCACAGGACAGTTGCTTTCCCTGATTCTGAGGTCCTTCACAATCGCTATGACGATCTCCCTCATTCGGTCAAACATCTGAGGCGTGGTGTCTTGAGAGACATCCAAAGCAAACATTAATTCTGTGGGATATGCTGGGCATTCTGGCATCCCTAGGACAAAAGAGTGGATGGCTTATCGAGTCAGACACCAGATTTCCAAAGGTCAGGAGACAAAATAATAATATATTATAATAATTTGTTATTTGTACCCCGCCCATCTGGCTGGGTTTCCCGAGCCACTCTGGGCGGCTTCCAACAAAGATTAAAAATACATTAAAATGTTACACATTAAAACTTCCCTGAACAGGACTGCCTTCAGATGTCTTCTAAATGTCAGGTAGTTGTTTATCTCTTTGACATCTGGTGGGAGGGCGTTCTACAGGGTGGTCCCCTGTAACTTGGCTTCTCGCAGTGAGGGAACTGTCAGAAGGCCCTCAGCACTGGACCTCAGTGTCCGGGCAGAACAATGGGGGTGGTATACTGGGCCAAGCCGTTTACGGCTTTAAAGGTCAACACCAACATGTTGAATTGTGCTCGGAAACGTACTGGGAGCCAATGTAGGTCTTTCAAGACCGGTGTTTTATGGTCTCGGTGGCCACATGGTAAACTGATATGTGCAAAAAGGATTCCTAAATTGGGCAGTTGCTATAGCAGGGGTGGGAGATGTTTTGCAGCCAAGGACCACATTTTTTTCCGGGGGCCACATACTATAATGAGGACATATTGTGCAATCTCTTGGGCCAGACAGTGAGATTCATCACTCAAGCACCTTATCAGATGCATGAGCATAGTTGGTTGTTTAAGCATTCATTGAAAGAAGATTGGGAAATGTTTATTGAATATGTGGGGAAAACTGTGTACAGCTGAAAACGTTGGCAACATTAAGATAAATTCAACAGTGTAAATAGGTTTTGATAGAAATAATAATGGAATACCGAATGGTTTAGTTTATATAAAATATGCAGGGATTTATGTTATGCAGAATGAACCATGGAAAGAGAAGGGAAGTCATTGATATTTTAAGGTTGTTTAAATGAATATTCTAAATTTAATTATTTAAAATTTAATAAAATTTAATAAAAAATAAAAAATTTAAAAGATAATTTAAAAATTAATATAAAATTAAAATTAAAAAATTAAAAAATGAATTACTTCTAAATAACCAACTATGCTCTTTTAGAGCATAGTGGTTATTTAGAAGTAAATGATGATGCTAATATTATCATTAGGGTGGTTTTTTAAAAAAAAGTTTTTAAAATCCATTGCCTCAGATATCATACAATGCATAATTATACAAAAGAATGTTTACAAAACCATAACAAATACAGTGCGCAACAATTTACTACAGACAAAAAGAGAAATTCACAAATGTACCACATAAATCCGCATAACAGCTGCAGTATAATGTTAAGTGCCTACCTTGGTAACAAGCTAAAGGAAAGAGAGAGAAAATAATATAGCATCATTAACAAGAACAAACAACAACAACAACAACAGTTTATTATTTATACCCCGCCCATCTGGCTGGGTTTCCCCAGCCACTCTGGGCGGTCCCCAAAAGATTATTAAAAACACAATAATACACCAAACATTAAAAACTTCCCTAAACAGGGTTGCCTTCAGATGTCTTTTAAAGATAAGATAGCTGCTTATTTCCTTCACATCTGAAGGGAGGGCGTTCCACAGGGCGGGTGCCACTACCGAGAAGGCCCTCTGCCTGGTTCCCTGTAACCTCACTTCTCTCAGTGAGGAAACTGCCAGAAGGCCCTCGGAGCTGGACCTCAGTGTCTGGGCTGAACGATGGGGGTGGAGACGCTCCTTCAGGTATACTGGCAAATTATGTAGCAAATGTTCAAGAATCTCTTAAAGTTATCATAGAATGCTTCAACCATTATTTTACAGAAATCCTTTTGAATGGAATGGCGTAGCAATGGGGTGTAACTCCGAATGAAGAGGGCATTCGTGTCACATCCAATTTGTGCATTTAAAGCACATGATGTCCCCCCCAACGAATTGACGGCACTGTAGTTATTTAAGGGTGCTGGGAATTAGAGCTCTCTGATGGGTAAATAGAATTCCTAGTACTCTTGGGGGTGGGGAAAGCCATGGCTGTTAAAGTGGCATATATGTACTTTAAATCACAGTGTGGATGTGACTTCAGATATAGCAAGTGACCGCCGTGAGTAAGCTTGGCTGGTGAAGTTAAACAAGAATGAATAAATGGATTATTCAATGAAGCAAAAGTTCCCAGCAGCTGGTCCTGTAGAAAGGACAAATTCGCCAGCTCCCAAATGTGTTTATTGTTTGGTGTAGACATTTCTGGCTCTCATGAAAAGTAAAAAAAAGCAGAATTAGGAAAGTGGTATATCTCAGTAGCATAGGACTGCAGGATCTGAGCTATGACACAACAATGGAAATGGTCGTCAGGGAGCTATCATGACAACAGCCAGAGATAACTCCCTATAGCAGAAGTTAACTAAAGTTTTGGCAAGACAGATAGCCAGATCAGCCAAAGAGTCTCCTAAAGCTATTTGAAAACTCGCCGACTTATTAAGCCTGTGGAGGTCAGTAGTCAACCAAAGCTATATGATTAAGGGTGTTCTATCTGCCCATGAACATGGGTGGCGCTGTGGGTTAAACCACAGAGCCTAGGACTTGCCGATCAGAAGGTCAGCAATTCAAATCCCTGCGATGGGGTGAGCTCCCATTGCTCGGTCCCTGCTCCTGCCAACCTAGCAGTTCAAAAGCACACTGGTGCAAGTAGATAAATAGGTACCGCTCCAGCGGGAAGGTAAACGGCGTTTCCGTGCACTGCTCTGGTTCGCCAGAAGCGGCTTAGTCATGCTGGCCACATGACCTGGAAGCTGTACGCCGGCTCCCTCGGCCAATAAAGCGAGATGAGCGCTGCAACCCCAGAGTCAGCCATGACTGGACCTAATGGTCAGGGGTCCCTTTACCTTTATCTGCCCATGACAATAGGACAATCATTTATCCTTCATGAGTAACTGAATGCAGTAGGAATCAATACTTACAGCTGTGCTCACGAATATAAGCAATGAGTTCGCATGGCTACAGAGTGAGAAAGAGAAGAAAAGTTGAGTAATCCACAGATTACGGGGGGGGTTATAGAACCTTTCTGAATATTTAAGGTCCATGATGTGGTGAATACATACGGAAAAAGAAGCCACACCCTTTGCTCCTTTAATACCCTGAAACAAGAAAAATAGCATATTGTAGTAGAACAAATAGATTTCTGTGCTCAGTCACAATTGATAATGAAGTTGAAAGAAAAGTCATTAAGTAAGGCAACTGCAGCAGAACATCAACAGTCATTCAGCAAAGCTGTTTGTTCCATTGGTTCGGTTTATAACTTAGAAATATGGGGCGACACCATATTTTTTCTTATTCATAAGAAAGAAATTGGAAAACACACCTAGGATTCAGTATAACTCGGTGTTCTTGCTTTCATTTGATATCTATCTATATTCTGCAAATTTTTAAAAAATGATACTCGACTATACTACACTGAAATGTTTAAATGTTTCTTTGATTGTCCTTGAATCTTCCGATCACACTTGCCACACCAACGTTTGAGAACCACTGCCTTAAAATGACACACCAGCCTAATTCAGTCCACACAAGTGGAAAAAATGAATTAGCTATGGCGATATAGATGGAGGTGTAAATTATATACAGTGGTACCTCAGGTTAAGTACTTAATTTGTTCCTGAGGTCGGTACTTAACCTGAAACTGTTCTTAACCTGAAGCACCACTTTAGCTAATGGGGCCTCCTGCTGCTGCCGCGCCGCTGGAGCACGAATTCTGTTCTCATCCTAAAGCAAAGTTGTTAACCTGAACCACTATTTCTGGGTTAGTGGAGTCTGTAACCTGAAGCGTATGTAACCTGAGGTACCACTGTATCACACTTGGCCTACAGTGACTGAGCTCTACATGCATAGCAGGTTGCCCAAAGCAAAGATGGCATATTCGCATACCCTACGTCCAGGAGGACCACGGTCTCCCAATGTACCCTTGAGGCCAGTAGCACCTTCAGGACCCTAAAAAGAATGATGGGGAGAGACACTCCTTAAAAATGCAATTAGCAACGTGGGCATTACAGAAAAGGTAAATGAGCCTAACAGTAAAATACAGGATAGACAATCAGTGAACTGGAGTTACTCCTTATGAAAAGTTCCAGGAACTGCAGGAACATTTGGGGAAGTGTCTTAATTATGACTCCTTAAGGTCAACCTCATTATGGTAGAACTAAATTCATAGGGACAAAGAATCAGAAGACTCAGCTTGTTGTTTCTTGCTTCCAGAAGGCGGATTCCATCTCTGTTACACACTGAGCTGCCGAAATGGTTCTGTGGTCTGCTTTCCTAGGCTGAGTTGTTCTCTTTGGGCTGGCTGTTTAGTGGTATTTTGAGTAGAGGGAATACTTCCAATTTCTATATTATTTTGTTTTGAGGCGCTTAAAAGGTAAAGGTAACGTATGGGCCAGTCTTGACAGACTCTAGCTCATCTCACTCTGGAGGCCGGGAGCCAGCGCTGTCCACAGACACTTCCGGGTCACGTGGCCAGCGTGACATCGCTGCTCTGGCGAGCCAGAGCCGCACACGGAAATGCCGTTTACCTTCCCGCTGGTAAGCGGTCCCTATTTATCTACTTGCACCCGGGGGTGCTTTTGAACTGCTAGGTTGGCAGGCGCTGGGACCGAGCAATGAGAGTGCACCCCGTCGTGGGGATTTGAACCGCTGACCTTTCGATCGGCAAGTCCTAGGCGCTGAGGCTTTTACCCACAGCGCCACCCGTCGGTTAGCTAATTTGTTGGAGATTTGTTTCCTCGAAAAGTGGTTTACAAATGGAAGCAAACAGGGATGGGGAGAAACGGTCTCTCTTTCCACTGTAGCCTAGCCGCCCCCATTTTGTCAGCACATTTTTAAACCAAGGAGAGGGAAAGTAGTTTTAACACAGTATGTGTATGCGTGTGACATGACTAAATTGGTCCTTTGGATCTTAGCCTAGGTTTGTATGAAAATTGATATAGCGCCAACCAGCAAGCTTTCCTTAATACTGTTTTTACAGAAACACAGATGGAATGTGTTATCTGTACACTTATCGCCGTTACCAATAATTTATATAGCACTCCTAAAGTTGAAAACTCTTTTACAGCCCTTATCTCATTAATTATGGTCACAGCATGACCAAAACATGCAAAAATACTTCAGTTTAAGAGAATTGTGTCTGAAATAGCATTCCTGTCGAGTTACGACAGGCAAACCGCTATCTGAAATTTCTGGAAATTCCATGACTCCTTATTTCTACAAGTTTTTCCCAGCTGGATGAATGGGTATTTACCACAAGTGTCTATTTTGCGTGGATATATTCTTATTCTAAATCATAGCTGTCAACTTTTCCCTTTTCTTGCGAGGAATCCTATTCGGAATAAGGGGATTTCCCTTTAAAAAAGGGAAACATTGACAGCTATGTTTTAAATATGTTTTTAATTGTTTTTGTGGTTTTAAACACTTTAGATATCTTTCATGTAAATCACCTGGAGATGGTTGTTTAGAAGGCAACGAATAAATCAGTGGTGGTCATGATAATCTAAAGTTCTCCTTTTTAAAAGTAGGGGAAACGGAAACAGATATATCTCCAAATGACACAGTTATCATTAGCAGTAGTAAGCTAGTATAAAGGTCTGTAATCCCTCCCCCTTGCAATCCCATTCACAGGCAGCAAAAGCAGGGAGCATTTGGGCAATTTTCAGGTGGGTGAGAGGAGTGAAAATTTCAGGGGCAGGACGGGGGCAGCAGTGATAGACTTCCAGGTGGCTGGAAGCTGGTATTAGACATTTTTGTCAGAATCTGCCATTTTCTGTTAGACTCAGTTTTACTTTTGAGTGTAAAGGTAAAGGGACCCCTGACCATTAGGTCCAGTTGTGACCGGCTCTGGGGTTGTGCGCTCATCTCGCCCCATAGGCCGAGGGAGCCAACGTTTGTCCACAGACAACTTCTGGGTCATGTGGCCAGCATGACTAAGCCACTTCTGGCAAACCAGAGTAGTGCACGGAAACGGCGTTTACCTTCCCGCTGGAGCGGTACCTATTTATCTACTTGCACTTTGATGTGCTTTCTAACTAATAGGTGGGCAGGAGCAGGGACCGAGCAACGAGAACTCACCCCGTCGCGGGGATTCAAACCACCGACCTTCTGATTGGCGAGTCCTAGGCTCTGTGGTTTAACCCACAGTGCCACCCACGTCCCTACTTTTGAGAGTGGGTGTGTGCAGATGAGACCAGTTCTTCTGCCTTCACAGTACATTACGGTACATCTTTGAGGGACCAGTATCTTACTGTTTGCACCAGAGTAAGATGTGGGTAACCCTTCTAAGTCACCTGTTCCACAAATTATGGTACGTCAGACTCTCCAAGTGTCCCTACTGTCCAGGGACGTTCCTGATTTAAAGAAGCTGTCTCAGTTTCTGATTTGATCCCAAAATGTCCCACTTTTCATTAGGATGTCCCTATTTTCATTGGAGAAATGTTGGAGGGTACAGAGTTATCTGACCCCCAAGTCGTCTGAAGGTAAGTTTTTGAATGTTTAATGTTTTGTTGTGTTTTTTATATCTGTTGGAAGCTCCCCAGAGTAGCTGGGGCAACCCAGCAAGATGTGTGGGGTATAAATAGTAAAATTATCATTATGGAATTGGACGTCCCTATTTTCATCAGATAAATGTTGGAGGGTATGGCATGTTTCTTCAGAAGCTGGCACCAAACAGCACAATACTAACCATAGCTACAAAGGACAACGTTCTGTTGTATATAATGGAGCTTACTCTCAGGTAAGTGGAGTTAGGATTTCAGCCTAAAACAACAAACAGTGCTAGTTGCAATCTGAGTAATAGGAAAGCTTTTATCTGGGGAACATTCTTCCAGGCCGTACTCATATATGAACACAGAGTACTGGGAGTAACCTTAACTGAAAGCAGAGGTGATATATTGAATCAGTGTTTCACTTCAGCTTTGGCAACAAACCTTTTTGGATTCTAAAAATGAAAAATGGGCCTGTTGAAACTTATGTCTGATTGTCACCAGATGAAGCCTACAGTAGAAAAGACACAGTTGTGTCTTGAGGAAAGCCAAAAGCACAATTACTCCAATAATACTCTTTCGGGTATTATTATTACTAATCACAATGTATCCTGCCCTCCTTCCAAGACGTTCTCAGTGGGTGCTTAGTCTTTTTCAGTTTTATCTTCACAGCAACCCTTTGGGGTAGGTTCATGTTGTGAGTGAACTTCATGGATTAATGGGGAGCTAAGCCTTTGCCTACTGATAATAGCTGTCAACTTTTCCCTTTTCTTGTGAGGAATCCTATTCGAAATAAGGGAATTTCCCTTAAAAAAAGGAAAAAGTTGACAGCTACGCTACTGATATCAAGATTCAGTCCAAGACATTGCACACGCCCTCATGATATGACAAGCTTAAATCCAGATACCTCTCCATGTCAGGATTGCAATTGTGTAAGCAATGGGAGTAAGCAGCATTGTGTGTGTGTGTGTGTGTGTGTGTTTCAAGCACATTTTGATATTAAGAGAGCATAAAGGATTGGCTTACCGTTCTCCCAGCGGTTCCTTTTGGCCCAGGTCCTCCTGCAATGCCAGGGTTGCCATCCTCACCCTAATGGAAATACATAAAACACAATCAATTTGAGGGGAAATGGCTACTGAAATGCTCTGTTTATTAATTACAATATTTATGTAGCCTGCCTTTTGTACCAAGGCACCCCAAATGACCAAGATATCAAGTACAGTCAAACCTTGGTTCTCGATCATCTCCGTTGCCAAACGTTTCAGCTCCCAAAAATTGAAAACCCAGAAGTAAGTGTTCCAGTTCTCCAACGTTTTTTGGAAGCTGAATGCCCGATGCGGCAGACAAGTGGCTTCTGATTGGCTCTTCCAATTGCAAGGTCCAGATAGTTAAAGCCATGGTTTTCCCAGTAATTGATATATGGAAGTGAGAGCTGGACCATAAAGAAGGCTGATCGCCGAAGAATTTATGCTTTTGTATTGTGGTGCTGGAGGAGACTCTTGAGAGTCCCATGGACTGCAAGAAGATCAAACCTCTCCATTCTGAAGGAAATCAGCCCTGAGTGCTCACTGGAAGGACAGATCCTGAAGCTGAGGCTCCAATACTTTGGCCACCTCATGAGAAGAGAAGACTCCCTGGAAAAGACCCTGATGTTGGGAAAGATGGAGGGCACCAACATGAGTTTGACCAAACTGCGGGAGGCAGTGGAAGACAGGAGTGCCTGGCGTGCTCTGGTCCATGGGGTCACGAAGAGTCGGACATGACTAAACGACTAAACACCAACAACAAATCATCCACCAAGCAGGACTTTCTTAATGATATTTGAGCCAATTATCCTTTCATAGTTTTCAGCCAATCATGCTTCTTCTGCTGTCCCATTTTATTTCCATGCTTTTGCATATTTACTTGCCAAATCATTAAATCACAGAGGAAACAGTGGGACACAGTAGAGATGTGGCCTTTTTTAATATTAAAAAAATATGTATGTCATAGTTTTTCAAAAGAACAGTACCTTCTGACCCATAGCTCCAGGAAAGCCTTTTTGCCCCTGTAACACACAAAGGATGGAAACAGTGTTTGATCATGTTTATGTGTTATTTTAAGGACAGCAATAAAGATACAGCAGCAACTACTGCAAGAAGAAAAGTCCATTTTGTCTTCCTATTTCCTCTGCACATTCTAGATTTCTAATGGGATTCATCTGGTACGACTTTTCTCAAGAGGTGCTTTGATCTAGCTGCAAATTATTGCAGCCAGCTCACTTATTCCCTGCAGAGAGATTCAGGGTCTATTCCCCATCACTTTTACATACATAATGGCACTTTGTTGTTGTTGCTTTGAGTCAGTACATATAGATCAGGCTTCCTCAACCTCGGCCCTCCAGATGTTTTTGGCCTACAACTCCCATGATCCCTAGCTAGCAGGACCAGTGGTCAGGGATGGTGGGAATTGTAGTCTCAAAACATCTGGAGGGCCAAGGTTCAGGATGCCTGGCACAGATCATGGGAACAAAGGCAGTCGATTCAGGCTGACCAGCACCCAAAATCACAAGACTACTGTGTTGACTCCTACACACTTGGATGACTCCCTTTGTAGGCAAAAGCAGAAACAAAACATTTTTAAAATCCCAAGCTTTCCAATGATAACTCAGCAAATTTAGTGCCCTCCAAAACCCACAAAGTTTGGCTGAAAAACAGAAAACTGGGAGGAGTCAAAATGTCAGCCTCGCCGAGTCCCTCACAGCTTATACTTTATACTTTCTCAGTGGAAGATATGACTAGTGTTACTGGATTTTTTTTAAGGTAGTCAGGGTGTATGTGTGTGTGTGTTTGTGTGTGAGAGAGAGAATGAGAGAGAGAGAGAGAGAGAGAGAGAGATGACGGAGGGCAGCTTGCAGATTTAACAGGTAGAATAAGAGAACAAGAAGAATGCAGAAGAATTTAAAGAAGGCTGGAAGAATTTAAAGAAGACTGGGAAATGTTTACTGAGTATATGGGTGAAAATTGTCTTCATTCAAAAGCACTGGTAGCATTAATTCAACAGTGTAAATAAGATTTGATGGATGTAACATTGAATTACTGAATGGTTTAGTTCATGTAAAATAAGCAGGGATGTATTACCACAGAAAAGTAAGAAGGGAAGTAATTGATTTAAGGTTGTTTAAATGAATATTTTGAAATGTAATTTAGAAAATTTAATAAAATTATATATATATATATATATATATATATATATATATATATAGCCTACAGGTTCTTGCCTGGACATCTTAGGGATTTTAATCTCCTTTTTCTTTTAATTTACAGACCAATAGATGTAGAAAAATCACCTACATATAACAGAAACCACGATGCTGTGAGTGGGGAACATGGCGACCACCAGTTGTTGGTAGATTACAACTCCCTGACTCATTGGCTTAGTGGAGCTGATGAGAATAGGAATCTGGCAAAATCTATAGGATCACGGGTTTCCTAACCCCGCATTACTTTATTTTTGTGTATGTACGTGTTTGCTGGCAAACTGATAGGTGTCAAACCACCAAGTTTGATACTGGAAGGCAACACGTAAGGAGATAATCTAGTGCCCACACCTCTACAATAATCCATGTTTTATTTCCATTCATTCCAGCTGATAATGATCTGTAAGGATATTTATAAAAAGAGCTCAGATTTTCATTAAAGATTTCTTTTCACTCTTACCTTTATCCCTTTTTGTCCTTGTTTACCATATCCAACTGCACCACCATCGCCCTAAAGCAAAGTTACATTACATCAGTGTTTCATTTTCGTTTCCAACTACCCTTTTGGAGGCAACAAAGGTCTTCTTTGCTTCCATTTTGTATTAATAATCGCAGAAGCGGAAGAAGATTTTGACAAATCTAAACAAACAGAGGACTACAACATCCATTTCTCCTCCTACTTTCCATAAATACCTTTCATTTATTCCTATAGTAAGATGAGCTCAATTAATACTCCTTCTGATAAATTTATCTGCACTGGGGGTATTTTTGGTGTGTGTTTTTTTAAAAATAATAATTTCAAGATTGTAATGATCAATTAATTAATTAAAGTTTTATACTGCTGTTGATCCAAAGATCTCAGGAAGGTTCACAAGATGTTTACTGATACAAGATAAAAATTACGGGAATGTATACAAAATAATAACATGCAAACCCTTATTCCCCGGCGTCCCGGTGGACCTCTCTCCCCTTTTATTCCGGGGCCGCCAGGCTCTCCCTGTTAAATGAACACAAAATTGACATTGTTATAGGATTTCGAATGGGATACATGTCCTCTCAGAATCCCTTCTCTCAGAATCATGACTTTAAATTTGTAAAACCGGTATCTGGAGATAACCTCCACCGCAATAATCCCAAAGCTGTTCCCAAAATACCTCCTTTGCTGGCTAAATTGCCCTAACCTGTCAAGTATCTCCTTTGTTATGTAAGCAAGGGACAATCTATTGCCACAAAAACTAAATTACTGAGGGCACTTTTAGGAGATGAGAGTCAGTATGACCTGACTGGAAGTGATGTTATCAAGTAGTGTCTCTGCATGAAAGAGAATAGGCTCACAGGTTTTGGAACCATGCAAAGTCAAAGAGAAGAGGCTGCATTTTAGATTTAACAGCTTTTGGGGAACTGGTTGTATTCCCCTAGACATCTAATCGGTGAATTTGAGACATTTTTTGGAGTTGCATATCCACTTATGCCCGGCCTCTATATACGTGTAAACAGTGCTTTTTCTGGGGGTACGCATAAAAGGTATAGGTAAAGGGACCCCTGACCATTAGGTCCAGTCATGGCCGACTCTGGGGTTGTGGCGCTCATCTTGCTTTATTGGCTGAGAGAGCCGGCGTACAGCTTCCAGGTCATGTGGCCAGCATGACTAAGCCGCTTCTGGCGAACCAGAGCAGCGCACGGAAACGCCGTTTACCTTCCCGCTGGAGCGGTACCTATTTATCTACTTGCACTTTGACGTGCTTTTAAACTGCTAGGTTGGCAGGAGCAGGGACCGAGTAATGGAAACTCACCCCGTCACAGGGATTCGAACCGCCGACCTTCTGATCCGCAAGTCCTAGGCTCTGTGGTTTAACCCACAGCGCCACCCGCATACCCCTCAACATTTACGTTTGGTCTTATTGAGGGGTTGTATTTCAATATGAGAAGGAAAATAAGAGTACCCCTAAACATTTTTAAAGGAAAAAAGCACTGTGTGTAAATAAAACCATATATCACAAAAATGCCACAAGCCTCCAGTGACCTGGGAGTTTTACACTGCTCAGGGAACTGGGGCAAACTGAGATTAATTTCAGTGTCAACAATGATGCCACAACATACCGCATCTGTGATCAAAATTGCCACAACCTGCTGAAAACTCAAAACAGGCATCACAGATAAATTTCATGTCCATGCAGTTTAAATCAGTAGGGCAAATCATATATTTCCTGTGTGTGAAAACAAGAAGCATTGCCATTTTCCCCCTCCATACCTGAATGAACAGGAAACCTCTCATTCAGACGGGGTGCAGGGGTGAATTTGGCTGTCTGGGTGTCATGCAATTAACACATTTGGAAAATAACTTCTGATCAATTTCAGAGCATTTCTACTTGGTGGAATTAAAAGACAATGTGTGAACTGAAACAGGCACAGGAGCCCACATGTGAATATATTTAAGAGGAATTTGCAAAAAAAAATTTATAACTAAAAGTATGGATGCTCCTGAGGAGAAATTGTATGGATATGATAAAAGCTCGCCGCATCCATCCCCTGGCTGTCTAAATTCTAACCTGGTAATATAACCTTCACATTTGGACAGCTTTTTTTTTTAGCCAAGTACAGTGGTACCTTGGTTCTCAAACTTAATCCATTCTGGAAGTCCGTTCCAAAACCAAAGCGTTCCAAAACCAAGGCACGTTTTCCCATAGAAAGTAATGCAAAACGGATTAATCCGTTCCAGACTTTTAAAAACAACCCCTAAAACAGCAATTTAACATGAATTTTACTATCTAACGAGACCATTGATCCATAAAATGAAAGCAATAAACAATGCACTGTACTATAAAATAAATAAGACAGTATTATAGATGATGAAAATTACGGTAAATTATTATTTTTTTATTACCTGCACTGATGATAGTCATTGTTTGGATGGGGGCCTTTTATCCATTTGCATAGTCACACAATCAATCAATCAATCAATCAATCAATCAGTAGCTGAACTGGATTCCACACAACCACAAAAACAAATGCACTGAAAAAGCCTCAAAAACAAAAACGCACAATAAATAGCTAAAACAAAAGCACCAAACTTAATCTGCTTGACTTCCAAAATCTTCAAAAAACCAAGGCGCAGCTTCTGATTGGTGCAGGTACCCCGGAAACACTGACAGCCGCATCGGATGTTCAACGTTTGGAAACACTTACTTCCGGGTTTTCGGCATTTGAGAACCAAGGTACCACTGTAAAATTAACCTGTTGGGTTCTCTGGAACATACCTTATTGCCTTTGGTTCCCCAGATCCCAGGAATGCCTGGTGGACCTGCCACTCCCAGGTAACCCTGAAACAAAAGATAGGTAAAGGTAAAGGGGACCCCTGACCATTAGGTTCAGTCGTGACCGACTCTGGGGTTGCGGCGCTCATCTTGCTTTATTGGTCGAGGGAGCCGGCGTACAGCTTCCGGGTCATGTGGCCAGCAGGACTAAGCCGCTTCTGGTGAACCAGAGCAGCGCACGGAAACACTGTTTACCTTCCCTGCTGGAGCGATACCTATTTATCTACTTGCTCTTTGACGTGCTTTTGAACTGCTAGCTTGGCAGGAGCTGGGACTGAGCAACAGGAGCTCACCCCGCTGCGGGGATTCGAACCACCAACCTTCTGATCGGCAAGTCCTTGGCTCTGTGGTTTAACCCACAGCGCCACCCGCATCCCGAAACGAAAGAGAAAACAGGGCAAAACTATGCATCTGGGTAATTACTCAGCATAGCATTTTTCTTTTAATGGGCCACCATCCAGAGGGCTGCCCCCCCCATGGATGTTCCTGCTTGGGGTGGGATAGAGGGAGACTGTCTGTCACACACTCAGATTGTGGGTGGACAGCCAACTGGAACATCCCACACCAATGGCAGGGGGGTCACTCCCAGAGGTCCTGCAAGACCATTTTGACCCCCAGCCAGTGGGCTGGAGGGAGGTGACATCAGCCAGCAGTGGCGCTGCCCAATAGCTGGATATTTGCCACAATGCCCCATTTACCTCCACGATGAACGTCATCAAAGTTGTGACTATGTTGTACCTGGGTTTTTGGCTCCTGTGGGCTTGCACCCCTGTGCCTCAGGGACAAACTAAGGTTGTAAGGGGATGTTTTGCCACAGTCAATATGGAATCTGTTTTACCGATTGACTCTGGACTTTATTTCACATTGTGATAAATAGGTCAATTCTGTATCCAGGGCCGCTGTCTACCAACTCCACCTGGTACGCATGCTGAGATCCTACCTGCCCGTGGACTGTCTCGCAAGAGTGGTGCATGCTCTAGTTATCTCCCGCTTGGACTACTGCAATGCGCTCTACGTGGGGCTACCTTTGAAGGTGACTCGGAAACTACAATTAATCCAGAATGTGGCAGCTAGACTGGTGACTCAGCCAGACTGGTGACTGGCTGAGACCACATAACACCGGTCTTGAAAGACCTACATTGGCTCCCAGTACGTTTCTGAGCACAATTCAAAGTGTTGGTGCTGACCTTTAAAGCCCTCAACGGCCTCGGCCCAGTATACCTGAAGGAGCGTCTCCACCCCCATCGTTCTGCCCGGACGCTGAGGTCCAGCGCCGAGGGCCTTCTGGCAGTTCCCTCATTGCAAGAAGCAAAGCTACAGGGAACCAGGCAGAGGGCCTTCTCGGTAGTGGCACCCGCCCTGTGGAACACCCTCCCATCAGATGTCAAAGCGATAAATAACTACCTGACATTCAGAAGACATCTTAAGGCAGTCCTGTTCAGGGAAGTTTTTAATCTGTGATATTTTAGTGTATTTTTGGTTTCTATGGAAGCCGCCCAGAGTGGCTGGGGAAACCCAGCCAGATGGGCAGGGTACAAATAATAAATTATTATTATTATTATTATTATTATTATTATTAATAGATAGATGATAGCAGTGCTTTTTTCTAAAAATAAAATGTTTAGGGGTGCTCTCATTTTGACTCAAGAAAATCAGCATTTTATAGTTCAAATCGGGGGAAATAAATACAGTAAATGGACAAAAGTACAAAGATTCACAAAATGTTTAGGGGTATGTGTACCCCCACATCCCCCCCAGAAAAAACAACTGGATGATAGGATTTTAGTTAATTTAAACTGATTTGAGATTTAAAGAAGAAAAGAAAAGAAAGTGTTTACATACAGGAAACCCTTTGTTTCCTTGATTTCCTTTCATTCCCTTCATGCCCTGGATTCCTCTCACACCCTAGAAACATATTTGACAAAAACAGAAAATTGAATATGAACAAATCATGTTTTCAGCACAGACTCTCTCAATATCCCTCAGAAATAAAGCTGAATATTTTTAATGTTGACCTGTGGACCTTTAAATCCTTGCTGTCCAGGAAAACCGCTAGGACCACGGGGCCCTTGTCTCCCCTGTAGCAAACAAGAAAAGACCAGACTTAAAATATCCATTCATGAAGAAATAAGTTGAATTAGAGACCAAATTACACTGAGGCCAGACAGTTTTCTTTGTAAGACAATCTAATATATTGCTGTCATGATAAAACAGCACTCCTATATATATATATATATATATATATATATATATATATATATATACACACACACACATACCTGGGGGCCAGGCTGGCCTCTTCGGCCTTGATGTCCCTATGACAAGATAATTGCAATAAGTTAAACATTTCTATTTAGATCTCACTTTAACTACCCGATACAATATGATAATCTTTATTGTCATTGTCCCATACAGAACAACGAAATTGAAAAAATCTACATAAGACATTCAAAAACCAACAAGCCTGCTATCCCAACCTGGTTAGCCCCCTAAAAACTCTGATACCCCATTTTTAAATACAATATACTCCCATAGAGACTCCTTACACTGCATTTAAAACCAAAATCGCATTTGGATAGAAACTGTTTCTCAGGCGGCTAGTCCTAGTCTTTATAACCCTGTACCTTCTTCCAGAAGGCAGAAGCTGAAAGAGATAATTTCTGGGGTGCGTACTATCCTGCGCTATCTCTGCAGCTTTCTTATGGCACCTGGAAGCATAGATTTGATCCAAGGTGGGAAGAGTACACCCAATTATTATGCCTACTTGGATGTAAGTACCATTGAGTTTAAAGGGGCTTACTCTTAAGAAGATGCGCATAGCTCTAGGGTGCTGTGTGACAAACCATATATGACAAAGATACCACAGTCTCCACTGCCCTTCATTCAGAAGAAATCAAACCCTGGGATCTCACACTGCTTGGAGACTGGAGTGGTCTGCAACAATATGTTTTCCATGCCTGGCACCATTTAACAACTGGGCAGCCACACTTTGAAGCATCCGAACCTTCCAAACACTTTTTGAAGGAAGCTTCTAGTAGAATGCAATGGTGAAACCTCCCTGCCGCCCCCAACAGAAGATGCACCCTATTGATTTCAGTGTCCAGACTCTGCCATGAATCTGGACCCACAAGAACTCTTTTCTTGGCCTCAAGACATTTCCCAGAATCAAGTGGCAAAGATTTAGAGAAAGGGGGAAAGTCTCACGCAACTGCAATTCCAATATTCTCAAAGGGATTTCTATGTGTGGAAGAGGGAGTTTAGGGTTCTCTGCCTATTGCTGGCAGTAGACCCAGTGATAGGACAGTTGCAGTCTGCCTTGCATTACCACCATGAAGTTCTTTCACAGGGAAAACAATGTCAGCATCTTCGTTCTTTGGCTCTTACTCTGGTTCCTTTCAAGCCGGGGAATCCCGTGGGGCCCCTTGGTCCCCTCTCACCCTGAAAGCAAAACATTTGAATTTAAATTTAAGTTGCAACATCTTTACGAGCATAAGACCCCTGCACTATGAGGCCAAAGGCCCATCTGGTCAGTATCCTGTTCTCACAATGGCAACCAGATGCCTAAAGAAGATAGTCCACATAGGAAAATTCGTCTTCTCAAACTCATAGCATGACACCTTGCCAGATGTTGGCAAGTAGGATAAAATACGTTTCAATGTGTTATTCATGCTGCATGTGAAAACCACTGGTCTGTTTACAGAAATTAGAAACGGGAGCTTTGGTTATGAGGCGACGTTGTTATGGGCTGCCTGCATATTTTAGAAAAAGAAAAGCATTACTCTGCAAAAATGGTTTCAGTAACTATCCTGCAGCCCTCCTGGTCCACTGGGAATTTGAGAAATGAGCTCAGGAAGTTAGCAGGGCCTGGCCTGGAGTTGGGGCTTCAGGACCCTGGACAGCGCTACAGGTGCTCGCCTGCAAATTCTTGGCATTTATTTGCAAATACAGTGGTACCTGTTGTGACCCGTATCCAAGGACATGAGCACACAACTAGCACAGTCCAAACAGAAGCTGAGCCTTGAAGTGTAACATCTACGCCAAATTTATTGAGCACAAAATCAAACATAACATAACAAAGAAAACATGGCTTCTCTGTCTTTCTTCCTTGGAGATAGAACTGCAAAAGCAATAGCTATACAGAACGGAACAGCGTATCTCAATTTCCGCTCACAAGACTCCAACAATCAGTGCTGGAATGTAAACACAGACATGTGACGTGTAACAATCCCACACATCTGCAGCACGGGAGACATGGAATTCCCAACATCTCTCCTGCAGCTAAGGAAATTGGTGTGGGAGAGAAGCAAGAAGAACCTGGTCTTAGACCTGTGGGAACCCGTGTTGCTTATTGTTATGTCTGTGACTTCATATTTTATCAGTTCTGCTAGAGCTGTAAAGTAATAAATCCTTAACATCATTTGAAATGGGCTGATCACAGCTTGGTTCAGAAGTGGGAGAGGTGTGGTTGCCACACTAATCATACACATCAATGCTCAGGCATTTATTATAGTATATTTCTGTAGAAACTACTTTTCACAGGCAAATAATAAACGAGGCATATAAGATGGTATTTTACCTCTCTTCCTCTTCCCCCTTCTAAACCTTTTGGTCCTGCTATGCTACTATCTGGTCCAGGAATACCCTAGATGAAAGGGAAATAAATGTTAATGTTCCCACATTGTTTGTTTGTTTGTTTGTTTGTTTGTTTGTTTGATTTAGAGAGAGGGGGGAGAGAGAGAGAGAGATGGGGGAAAGCACAGGTTCTTAACCTCTGGTCTATGGACTCATGGGGTCTGTAAATCTCTCTCTCTCTCTCTCACACACACACACACGCACACACACACACAAATTGTTTCCTTGATTTCTTTCCAGCTACCATGAAGATTGTCTTTGTGGGGGGAAATCTGGGGATGGGGTTCACAACTTTCATCAGATACTCAAGTAGTCCATGACACACACCCCGACAAAGGTTAAGAACCACGGGTATAAACAAAACTTTGGTTTCAAATTGTGGAGCGAAAAGGAGCCACCTGGTGTCATTGTGATGTCAGGTGGTTGACAGGGGAGAAATCCTAACAGAGGGATTCCTCTCACAGTAGCCAGAATTTCCTGGGAAGGGGGTTAAAACCACTCTGGGAATTGTAGCTCTGTGGGGAGGATGAGGGAATAGTGATCTCCTAACACCAGACCCTCCAAGTGTCCCTATTTTCCAGGGATGTCCCTGATTTAAAGAATACGTCCTGGTTTCTGCAACAACAACTACAACAACAACTTTATTATTTATACCCCGCTCATCTGGTCATCCATCTTGATCCCGAAATGTCCCTCTTTTCCTTAGGACGTCCCTATTTTCATTGGAGAAATGTTGGAGGGTATGGAATTATCTGACCCCCCAAGCCGTCTGAAGGCAATCCTGTATAGGGAAGGTTTTTTAAAAAATGTTTAAAGTTTTATTATATTTTTATATATGTTGGAAACTGCCCAGAGTGGCTGGGGCAACCCAGTCAGATGTGTGGGGTATAAATAGTAACATTATCATCATGGAACGGGACATCCCTATTTTCATCGGACAAATGTTGGAGGGTATGCCTAACACCTCTCAATGCCCTCAGCAAATTACAGTTCCCAGGATTCCCCCCAGGAGGGACTGTTTCAGACGATATGGCTCTGCTTCAAAAGTAGATAGGGGCTCACTGTTCCTGGTTTGTGTGACCCCCCCCCCCCCAAGTCCCGCCGTGTTAGCAAAATCATGCTCACATTGGGGGCCACCAGGTGGCGCGTTGGAAGATGGCCGACAATAACATCTCTCTGACCCATACGAGGTACTAAGGGGCTGCTATGGGAAGTATGCAGCCTTCCTAATCCCCCCAGGATGCGGGGGGACACTGTCCTGCCAGCGGTGTTCACAATGCACCCCCTGAAACAAGTGATGGGGGTGCTGAACACTTGGCACAGGCCCTCGGTGAAGTCAGATCTTCCTGACGCCGATTCCAATCAGCGCGTGCTGGTTGCTGCAGCTTGGAATTTTAATTGGAAACATACGTTTGGAACACGGGGTGGCGGTGTGGGTAAAAGCCTCAGCGCCTAGGGCTTGCTGATCAAAAGGTCGGCGGTTCGAATCCCCGCGGTGGGGTGCGCTCCCGTTGCTCGGTCCCAGCGCCTGCCAACCTAGCAGTTCGAAAGCACCCCCGGGTGCAAGTAGATAAATAGGGACCGCTTACTAGCGGGAAGGTAAACGGCTTTTCTGGCTTGCCAGAGCAGCGATGTCACGCTGGCCACGTGACCCGGAAGTGTCTCCGGACAGCGCTGGCCCCCGGCCTCTTGAGTGAGATGGGCGCACAACCCTAGAGTCTGTCAAGACTGGCCCGTACGGGCAGGGGTACCTTTACCTTTACTATACGTTTGGAAATGAAGCTGAAAGCACATACATCAAGTAAAGCTCGACTGATAAGACTGCTGATTAATGGATCTCTGCGACCAGGAGTGACGGACGGATAAGTAAATCTTCTGATGAATTACCATAAGGAGACTGTATGTTTGGAACGAAGGGGGGGTGGAGGAAAAAACTCTTTTTTTCTCTGCATGATGTGACATTAATAACCCTTCACCCCAGATAGAAAGAAGATCGTCGCGTTTCTATGAATCACAGGCAGGATTTTAAGAACTATGTGGGACGGAGTATAACAGGAAAGAAGACTGGAGAACGGTGAGAAAAAAATTTATGACGCAGTTAAAAAATGGCGTCTCGCCATGACAGGTTTGCCGGAGGAAGAAGGACTGGGGGAGGAGAATCAGGATTGTTTGAATGAGAAGGAATGCTGGAATGTAAGTTTGACCTGACAGAACCCCCAGACTCATTTGATTTATTTGGTAAGCCTGAGAAAAATAAAGGACAGGTTGGAGATTAATTTTGTTTATGGAAGCGTTGTACAGAGGCTGTCCCGGATCGATATGATTTTTGGAAGAGTACAAAATCCACATAGAATGCCAGCTTTTAACCTGCTTGTGAAAATCATCAGAGATCGCAAAGAAAGGAATTTATGATAACAACAAGAAGAGAAAGGAAGTAATAAAGGACTATCCAGATCAAACTGGACAGAACTGTCTAATTAATGCAGTAAGATAAGTGATGCTGTTTTGGACTCGAGCTGAGCTTGATGTATGGGTACCCCCAACAAAATTTAAAATTTGGCTGTATAATTTGGAATCAATGTGATATGGATAATGTGATGTAATTGGCCTGCTAATAAAAATTATTTTTTTTAAGAAATCATGCTCACATCACCTGTTCAATGCAAGCGCCATTAGCCTCTTGCCCCTGCGATTCAAGCAGTCAATATGATGAGAGGCTGCGGCTGAATTCCCTTAGGAAAAACAAAATTTTGCCCAAAGAACTCCAGGAAGTGGCTGATAAAGAGACTGCTGCCCTTCCCCAGGACAGCTGCCCAGTGAGGATCCGTAATCAATGTCCATGACATCCCGTCCATGAGCTGTAGTGTGGCGATGGAGGTTAAGCCGAATTGTCTTCCGCCATCTGGCTGACCAAGAGCAATGTGGTGAGCCACCAACAAGGCTTTTCTTCAAAAAAAAGACAAAATTGAATTCTATTTCAACTCCTAGGAGGAATTAAAGACAAGTGGCACTGTGGGTTAAACCACAGAGCCTAGGACTTGCCGATCAGAAGGTTGGCGGTTCGAATCCCCATGACGGGGTGAGCTCCCGTTGCTCGGTCCCTACTCCTGCCAACCTAGCAGTTTGAAAGCACGTCAAAGTGCAAGTAGATAAATAGGTACCACTCCGGCGGGAAGGTAAACGGCGTTTCCGTGCGCTGCTCTGGTTCACCAGAAGCGGCTTAGTCCTGCTGGCCACATGACCCGGAAGCTGTACGCCGGCTCCCTCGGCCAGTAAAGCGAGATGAGCGCCGCAACACCAGAGTCGGCCACGACTGGACCTAATGGACAGGGGTCCCTTTACCTTTTATATAACTTGTAGCATGTAAGGAGTTGCGGAGGGAATAGACCCATTGGTAGAAGACCCTTCGCTAGAAGGGGGCAACTTGTTTACTTTTGTCAAACCTTCCACACTTGCTCCTCTTGCATATTTAAAAATGACATGGAAAAATAAAGCAGTCCCACACTTGCAAAAAGAGAGAGAGAGAGAGACAGACAGACAGAGAGAGAGAGAGAGAGAGAGAGAGAGAGAGAGAGAGAGAGACAGAGACAGAGAGCCAAATGCAGATACAGTATCAGGGCAGTGAGCAGAGTCATTTCCTTCTCTCTTGCCTCTGGAAAACAAAACTTACTGGTTCTCCTCGAAAGCCCTTTTCGCTGCGATCACCAGGGAGTCCCCTTGGTCCCGGGCTGCCCTTTGAAGAATAACAGTGCATGAGAGCTTTAGGACAAAAAGATATAAGCGAGCCATTATTTTGTGTGATTGATGTGTTTGGCATTAAACGGGCTGCTGTTTAGGCTCAAGGCAGACATAAAGTTTCTCTGTTAACAGAAACAAACTTTCCATGTTAACAAGATTAAAAGCAGCTCCCACGGAGGCTCGAACCCTTATCAGCGCCAGACAAAGGCCATTTCATTCTCCCAAGCAATTAACCGAGAGTTGCTTCTCTTAACTACTTTTTTTTTTAATGCCGGGCCAGTTATTGCCGTGTTTTTATTGCTGTTTCTATTTATGATATTCATTTTATTACTTTTGCTGAATTATTGTAAAATGTTATGCTTTTATTCTTACTGTAAAGTCGCCCTGGGAAAGTTTCTTTGACAAGTGAGCTACAGGTATCTAAAACGAGCAAATGAAATTACCTGGCCGCCTGGGTCACCCTTTTCTCCTTTAATTCCTGGAGGTCCAGAAGAACCCTGAAGAAGATACATTAAATGGCCTATAAGTATGCGATTAACTCTATGGGGTGGGTGGGATATGTTTGCTAATTCAGACAGAACACTGAAAGGCAAAACGAAGAAATGAAAATCTTACTGGCTCTCCATTAACGCCATCAAATCCATTATCCCCCTTGTTTCCCTGCAAGAACACAAAAAACCAGGAATTATCTGCCAAATTCATCTCAGTATTAAGCACATGTTTACAGGCACTGTCGGATCTTGCAAATTCTATTTCAAAGACCCCTGCAGAGTGCTTTGCAATGAGTTCCACAAGACCCAGCAGTTAATACATTAATTAATGTGCTGTTTAATACAAAACATAACAAAATATGTACAGCATTTTCCCCCTAAGTATTTTCCTCCATTGTTGTTATCTGATTATTATTATTTAATTGCTTAAAGGAACTCCACAGTCGAGCCCACCACTCTGAAAACTTCAGAACCTCAGGAACTGAAGTTCACAAAATAATTTTTATTAGTGTGACAGCAACGGGGGCCTCATTTCTGCATTACTGACAGCACAATCCTATGTGTGTCTGCTCAGAAGTAAGTCTCATTGAACTGAGCAGGACTTACTCCCTGGTAACTGCATGCAGGATTGCAGCAGTAAAGCAATGTGACGGCTGTTTTCCCGCTGTTACTCTTCTAACACCCCCAAGTAAAGACCTACAACACATGTGGTTAGTGCAGATTGTATGCCTGCATTCATTGACTTCATTTATAGCTCAGCTGTTGACTGGCTAACGAAAAGCTATTTCCATAAACTGCTTTAAAAAAACTTTTAAAACCTGGCAGCAACAAGAGTTAGAAGTTACCCCAAACACCCTCCATTAACCAAATGTCTCCTGGAACAAAAAAGGCCTCGGCTTAACTTTCCAAAGATTAAAATTAAGCTAGGCTGCTCTCACAGAAGAGCACATCCCAAGATAGTGACACAATTCCGTAAGAGCATAAGGAGAGCTTTGTTGGAGCAGATCAGAGTCTACTGCAGCATCCTGCCTCCCCAAATGGCCAACCGTTTGCCCGCAGGAAGTTCACAAAGAAGAGCGCAAGGGCAATAGTCCTCTCTAGCTCATAGCGGGTGGCGCTGTGGGTTAAACCACAGAGCCTAGGACTTGCCGATCAGAAGGTCGAAGGTTCGAATTCCCACGGCAGGGTGAGCTCCCGTTGCTCAGTCCCTGCTCCTGCCAACCTAGGAGTTCGAAAGCATGTCAAAGTGCAAGTAGATAAATAGGTACCGCTCTGGCGGGAAGGTAAACGGTGTTTCCATGCACTGCTCTGGTTCTCCAGAAGCTGCTTAGTCATGCTGGCCACATGACCCGGAAGCTGTACGCCGGCTCCCTCAACCAATAAAGCGAGATGAGCGCCGCAACCCCAGAGTTGGCCACAACTGGACCTGATGGTCAGAGGTCCCTTTACTTTTACCTAGCTCATACTACTTCCAACCCTGGAGCTGATCCAAATCAGGGTGATACAGGTCGACCCAGGATTCCGCCAAATTAGGTTAAGGCAGCTCCACATTGCCCTGGCCGACTTGGGTCCACTCAGAGCCATCCGGGGCTATCGAAAGGGAAGGCAGTCTTGAGGTGAGGGCAGCAGCGAAGAAGGAGTCATATGCAGGCAGTCTGTAAACAACTCCTTTCTCTCTTCCCCCCTTCCCAACTATGAATTTATTTCACATTTTAAGCCAGAAGGGTGGGGCAGCGTTGCTTAATTGGTTTCCCAATACCACACATCACTTCTGTTTACCGACAGGGGAAGGAGCGAGGCAGCAGAGAGCTTGGTGTGATGTGGGCACAGCAGCAAAGCCAATCTGTATACTTACATGTAAGTTACATGTAAGTCCTATGGTGGCGCTGTGGTCTAAACCACTGAGCCTCTTGGGCTTGCTGATCAGAAGATCGGCGGTTTGAATCCCCATGATGGGTTGAGCTCCCGTTGCTCTGTCCCAGCTTCTGCCAACCTAGCAGTTCAAAAGCATACCAGTGCAAGTAGATAAAGAGGTACCGCTGCGGCGGGAAGGTAAACGGCGTTTCTGTGTGCTCTGGTTTCCGTCACAGTGTCCCATTGCACCAGAAGTGGTTTAGCCATGCTGGCCCCATGACCCGGAAAGCTGTCTGTGGACAAACGCCGGCTCCCTCAGCCTGAAAGTGAGATAAGTGCCGCAACCCCATAGTCCCCGTGACTTAACCGTCATAGGGTCCTTTACCTTTAACTTTTACCTATGGAATTCAGTATTCCAGGTGAGTGGAGTTAGGGCTGCAGCCTTACTTATGAGTAGCGTGGTTCATTTTTGAAGTTTCATGCCGTGGTTTTGTTAGAGTCAACAGCGATAGAGGGCCATATTTGATCGTACCAAATTTGTCATACCACCATTTGTAAAGGATGCTCATTTAAGACACGATCACAGATTCATTACTTATTCAGGAAAGGAGGAGAAAAACACTTTTCTGTACCTTTCGGCCCACTATTCCTCTCTGCCCCTGAAAAGGATCAGAAGAGCTCATGTCAATTTGAGGACCGTTAGACACAAGAAGATCGCAAGGAACATTCCGCTCTGCGTTAGAAAGGAATGCAATTATAGCTGATGCTTGCCTTGGGTCCTCGGTTACCACGGCAACCCTTGTCGCCCCTTTCTCCATCTGGCCCTGGGATCCCTCGTGGGCCCTGGCGACAAAATAAGCACAACCATTAAGAGAGGGAAGTTGTGACAGCAAGGATTGGTATCCCTTTCAGTTAGGGGACAAGAGAAAAGTGAAACTGCTATGATGCCGTACACACCCAGTTGAATCTTTTTTGGGGGGACAGCAGGCATCACCCTCCATTCAAGCCATCCTTGAAATTCCAATAATAATAATAATAATAAAATAATAATTTGTTATTTATACCCCGCCCATCTGGCTGGGTTTCCCCAGCCACTCTGGGCGGCTTCCAACAAAACACTAAAATACAATAACCTATTAAACATTAAAAGCTTCCCTAAACAGGGCTGCCTTCAGATGTCTTCTAAAAGTTTGGTAGTTGTTTTTCTCTTTGACATCTAAGTTTCAGAAGAGTCTTGCCATGTGGCTTGGAAAGGCCTCGTGTTTCAGCAAGGCAAACCCAGAGCACCTTCTACTCAGAGATAGAGTTGCGTGCCCTTTGGATTCTGGCCAATATTTGGAAATATTCTACTCCCCCACCCAACCCAAAAAGTGTGTGTATGTAACTTAATAGCTTACAGCTTCCCCTTCTTCTCCTAAGTGTCCTGGACTTCCTCTAACACCTTGAAGGCCCTAAAATGGAGATCAAGGAGACTTATTAACACCAAATATCGTTTTCAGAGCACACGGAACTATCAGAGGCTTTTGAGGACAGCGCCTCTCCGGTTAAAATCCAAATTCCTTGCCTTCATCCCGTGTCTTCCTGGGTCTCCTCCTTCTCCCTCTTCACCAACACATTTGCAAAACACACAGCAACATGTTCGCTCGGCGATATTGGCCTGAGAAAGACCAGAATGGTAGATGAAATTGATGGACTATGCAGAATTAGATAAATTAGCAGGAAAGGTTTGAAACCTGCGGGACCAGAGATTCTTAGAAGACTGGAGTAAATATGCGAACTCTTTGAAAAGTAATTGTAATGAACAGATTACGCTAGTAGGACTGCAAGCAGTTCTGTAAGGAGGAGTATTTGAAATATCAAGAATATGAGGAGAGTTATTAGTCAATGATAATTAAGAGTAATAGATAAATTAAGAAATGCAGAATAAGCGATAAAGAATGGAAAATCATCAGAGGAGTTGACGGAAGTCTAAAATATTGTATAAGATAAGAAGTTATGTTACATGATTGTTGGAAATGATATGTTTAAAAAACCAATAAAAATGTATATAAAAAAAGAGAGAAAGAACAGAATTAACTCTTAGAATTCTGAAGTGCAACCTGTCACACTTCGGGAACAAATTTGTATAGGATTGCTACACCAATATGACACAATGACAGGATTCGTCTACAGTTTTTAATCATGCACGGTTATCAACTGTCATCACATTGCTGCTGTTTTAGCCCCAACCCAATGAAAGTTAGTCATACTATTTGCTCAAGGTGCCTTGCCCCATATGCATCTATTCAGTTGCTTTGATCTGCAGAAGTTCCATTTTTGCAAGTGCCACATTAATGTCCATTGTGCAATTGCAAGGATTTCTTCCTTTACTTAGCCAGGCAGAATATGGGCTTTCGAAATCCCTGCCTATGTTTTAGATGCCTGTTGAAAACATATTTGTATCAGAAAGCCTATTCAGAAATATAATTTTAGTTACCTACATCAGCTTCTAAAACTTTACTTATTTTATATCTGTTTTTAATTATGATGATTTCATGTATATTGGTTTTTATATGCATTTGTTTTTAACGATGCCGGTTTTATGTGTTATACATTTTAATTGAACTGTGGGTTTTCGTTGTGTGTTTTCTCTCCAGTCTTATTTGCAAAGCATTTTGATCGAGAACTTCTATACATTCTCTAGATAAATTAAATAAATAAATATTGGAATGAATTTCAAAAGTTTGGCTGCTTTTCTAGAGTCCGTTTCTAGAGACCACACAGCATCATCAAACAATTGCAGTGAAATATTTCTTGTGTTGTCCTCTGATTTTTTTCCACGATTTGCAGTGATTTAAGGGGGGGTGCCACTATATATTTGCTATAGCAACACCAGCCTGGCCATTAGGCACCCGCAAAACACTTTCCAGGCTTTTAAAGGGAACAGCTCCCTTAATCAAAAGCTTCCTGTCTGCAAGTTTAGCCTAATTTATTGCTTCCCTGTTCAGCACAGCTGGTGGATTACTCCTGAACTGCCCCTTGTATAGTTCAGTTTTTCAGGGGCAGAGGGGTGTTAATGTACTGCTTTACAGTGGTACCTCGGGTTACATACGCTTCAGGTTACATATGCTTCAGGTTACAGACTCCGCTAACCCAGAAATAGTGCTTCAGGTTAAGAACTTTGCTTCAGGATAAGAACAGAAATCGTGCTCCGGCGGAGTGGCGGCAGCAGGAGGCCCCATTAGCTAAAGTGGTGCTTCAGGTTAAGAACAGTTTCAAGTTAAGGACGGACCTCCGGAACGAATTAAGTACTTAACTCGAGGTACCACTGTATTTCAATGTTATCACCTATTTTAATGTAATAGGAACAAAAGGGAAAACACAAGCTTTCAGGTAACAATGGAAATTATTATTTTTCTGAACGGAACTTATTTCTTAGCAGACATTATAGAAGGATAGAGGCGGGGGGGGGAGCATTGCTGGATAATATAACACTATATTCTGTCCTTTGTATAGCCTTCATTTTTAAGCGATAGAAAAGCAATATTTCAGCAGCATTACAGAGCTCTAGTGCAGAAGCAACCTTAGTAGTAACTGATTTAGGTCTCACTCACTTCAAAAAAAGCCTGATCTGCCTTCTCCCTGCTTAAGCCTTGACGGTTTCAACAAGACCCATTGAACCTAGTGGAATTTAACACCTGTAAGTTGGTTCTTTGGTGATTTACTTACCACGTACTTGGACAGATGACTGGCAATATTTCTCATGCCAATATTCAGTTGTGTCCTGTATCCAAATCCTTTCCCAAACTCAATATATTGAAGATCGTTAATTTTTTCAGCCCCTTCCAGAACGACAGTTATCAGCGCATCCAATCCTGTTTGAAATGTTGATTGTGATTTGTGAGCGTATAACATGGAGTTTTAGAAATCAAAACACCGTCTTTTGGCTTTGGATTTGATATCCCGCTTTATCACTACCCGAAGGAGTCTCAAAGCGGCTAACATTCTCCTTTTGCTGGTTAGCTCCGTTGGTTGGCGCATGGTGCTGATAACGCCAAAGTCACAGGTTTGATCCCCATATGGGTACATATTCCTGCATTGCAGAGGGTTGGACTAGATGATCCATGGGGTCCCTTCCAGCTCTACAATTCTATAATTCTATTCCCTTCCTCCCCCACAACAAACACTCTGTGAGGTGAGTGGGGCTGAGAGACTTCAGAGAAGTGTGACTAGCCCAAGGTCACTCAGCAGCTGCATGTGGAGGAGCGGGGAAGCGAACCCGGTTCCCCAGATTACGAGTCTACTGCTCTTAACCACTACACCACACTGAGGTCACAGGATGCAACCGCCTTACTGAATTTGCACAGGTTTAGGTCTAGTCAGTGTCTGGACCATCTGATGCCTTGAGTTCCATGATTAAAGGAAGGTGGGTAGAAATTTAATAAATCAGTAATCGCAATAATAAACCAGACTTCAGCCTTTTCGCAGAGTTTTGAGGAACACTTGTCAAATGTCGCATCCTACAGAAATTCCATGCCTCTTTCAAAATTGTCACTCACGTTTGCTCTCCTGAATTCTCTGTTCCCTGACTCTTGAATGCCGAGAAATTTCTTACTTCCTTTCGCCGCTGAACAGCCTTTATATGTCGATCGCATTGATTCCCTCAAACTCATCACGTACCTTTTTTCTTGAGCTCTTCTGATTTCTGTTCCAGGATTTCCACGTCGTCGTCCAGGCCATCCGAAAATACAAGGAGCACCTAGAAGAAAGTAAAAACAACAACAACAGTTTGTAAATGTATTAAAATTATACAATATATTGTCGGGTTTGAGTAGGCCAGGATGAAGCCGGAGAGCTTACCTTTCTTCGATTGGCAGATTTGATCTGGAATGTTTCCCAAAGTGAATCCAAAAAGTCTACATTAAGGTGGGATGCATTCTTGACAGTGGTGCCCACAAGACTGTTCAAAAGCTTTTCACTATCAATTTGGAACTTTGATGTCACCAGCGGTTCTGTGTTTCTCACCTTCAGTGCCACACTGGTTTGCGACTGTGACCCTGCATTGCAACTCACACCTGTTAAGGATGTGAGGGCATTTATAATTTTTGGAAGGTAGGTTTCCAGCTGCGACTGTCCGTGGAATATATGGTCACCTTGACTTTGTGAGGAGACATCTATTCCCACAACAACATCCACGAAGCATGCTGTTTTATGAAGAGAAGAAAAGACCACCAAATTACTAAACACAACGGATAGTTACTTGGAAGGGAGAAAATGAAAGTGAAAGACAGAAGGTGAGAGAGATATGGATTGAGGCTAATAATCACTGCGAACCCCACAATTGTAAAAGGAGATCTAGGAGACAATCAATATCAAAAGAACTAAAAATTGAGACTGTTTGAACAAATGAATGAATGAATTCTTCGTTGCTCTGTTCAATCACAAATATGTCATCTAGCTTTGCAAGTGGTTCTTGACAGTTATCTAGATGAGTTGATAAGCAATGGGTCGAAGTTGCATTCTGGTATGGGGAAACAAAAAACATTGAGCAGGGGGAGGGGAGTTTTATTCAATGCCCCCACAATAAGACATTTATGGATCACACATGGATCAACACAGTGGTACCTCAGTTTTCGAATGTAATCCGTCCCAGAAGACCATTGGACTTCTGAAACATTCAAAAACCGAGGCGCAAAGGGCATCCTGCAAATTTACAGAGATAATTGAGGAAAATACAGTGGTACCTCAGCGGAGGCCATTCAACTTCCGAGGCACGTTAAAAAACGGAAGTGTTTACCGTACTTCCGGGTTTTCGGTGTTCGAAAACCAAAACGTTCAACTTCCAAGATGCTCGAAAACTAAGATACCATTGTATCTAACTTTTACCATTTAGAATCAGGTACGTGGACACCAGTGTTTAGATCAGGCACCCCAAACTCAGCCCTTCAGCTGTTTGGGGACTACAATTCCCATCATCCCTGACCACTGGTCCTGCTAGCTGGGGATGATGGGAGATGTAGTCCCAAAACAGCTGGAGGGCCGAGTTTGGGGGTGCCTGGATTAGATTGAGGGATGGACCACCATATATCCCACTTTCCCCGAGGCCCCAAGATTAGGGGATTTACTTGAATTCTTGAAGTGGGGATACTTACTTGTTTTATCTTCTTCCTCACAAATATCATCAACTAGTCTTTTTTTAATTACCTTCAGTTCGCTGAAATTATCAACTGTGTATTTCCTATCTGAGGAGCCGGCTATCTGACTAAGCTGCAAATGGTCGATTTTCCCTACTCCTATGGCATATATGTCAACACCTCTCTTTCTCAGATCTTCTGATGCTTTTACAACTTTGTCATGTGACCGGCCATCTGTGATCACCAGCAAAATCTGTTGGATGTTTTCATTTGCTCTGCTGCCACCTTCTGGTGTAAAGTAGTGCTTCACCCTCCCCAGAGCGGCACCAATGTAGGTCTGGAGTCCTTCCATCTGTCGGATGCGTCCGATTTTTGTTTCAAGTTCTGATTTGGCTGGGAAAATATCCAGGCTGAATTCTTCCCTGTACCTGTCGCTGTACTGAGCGATACCAACTTGCACGTTGTGGCCGGTGTCAAAGGGATGAACTACGTCTTGCAAAAAACTCTTCATCTTGTTGAAGTCGCTGTCGCTTATGCTGTTAGAGCCGTCAATCAGGAATACAAGATCTGCCGGAATTCCACATTCTGCAAGGGAGAAGTGGGAGCAGAGAACCAAATAGGTTATTGTCAGGGAACTGCCATCAGCTCAGAGGCGAGAGGTGGAAGGGCCATTGTGTTACAGGGAGCCTCTAAAGATCTTGTGAAGCAGTTCTTCCTCTGGCGAGGAGGGAAGCCCCACCTCCAGTGAGGAGGGGGTGCAAGGATCAGAAGATGCTAGGGAGAGCCTCAACACCAAGCCTGAGCAAAGCGGAGGGGAGGCGAGTCCCCCTTTGCCAGCGCCCGTTCTGCGCAGTAGTCTTCGGCGCAGAGAGGGGAGGAGGAGGTTGGGGGTCACACGGCTGTTTTGCTGGGGAAGGTATAAGGACCGCCCACTCCCAGATTCTGCTAGCGACTGAGCAGACATGGACTTGCGACGCTCTGCACTGTAAATAGTATGTACAGATAATAAAGCCTGGAAAAGACAGGTTGGAGGCTTGCCTGTTTGCTCCCGAGCAACCACATCAGCACCTGACAGTTATATTTGTAGACCAGGGCATCTCAAAATAAGAAGAGAGAACACGAAGGGGAAACAGGTTTAGGAGAATAATGTAATAACACACACACACACACTTTGACGTACACATGCTGCCCACAAGGAGATATGAATTTTCCCCTCAGGGGTTTCTGGCTCACACTTTCTGCATTGGCTATGATTAGAGGAACAAAAAAACGCAATTGTCTAGATGGAACCTTGGATTCCACTGTCAGATGACATGCAAGTGTTTCAACTCAACTAACCCCTGTAATCCTGCAAAATGGCTGCGCCCCCGTGCATGTAAGAGTGAATGTAAGGAAGCATATTGTGCGCAATGTCCAATTAAGTTATAGACTTGATCCATTGAAACCAATGGACTTATCTTAAATGCACTGATTTCAATGGGCCTATTCGGCATGAGACTAATATTGGAGAGCACTCTTTATCTTTGGGTATACAGTGGTACCTTGGTTGTCGGACTTAATCCGTTCCGGGAGTCTGTTCGACTCCTGGAACTGTTTGAAAACCAAGGTGCAGCTCCGGTTGTGTGAGGCAAATGGTGGAAGTCTTAAAACAACAACAACACTTTTTAAGGTAGATAAGAACAAGATGAAATTATACGATTGAATATAAATATAGATGGAAAACGGCTATGTATAGTGAATGCTTATCTACTTTTAAAAATTTTCACCTATGATCCTTTTCTTTTACTTCCTTATTTTTTCCTTGTTCTTTTTTCCCCTTTTTTCTGATATCTTATCTTTCATTTCACTCCTTTATTGTGAATAGCATTTTATAGAGGTATAAATAACTGTAAATATGAAAAGAGACAAAGTATTTTCTAATTTTTTTCCTTGGTTATATGTATTTTCTTTTGTTGTAAATATGTATGTTTTCTAATTTGTACTTAATAATTTTTTAAAAAAAACACAACAACGATAATGATGATGATATAGCTACCTACCTGGTTTCGAAACACTGCATATATTGTCAGACAATTTGGGATACAGGTGTTTCAGTCCTTCAAACGAATTGACGTAGAAGTATTTGTCTTCCGATCCTGCCATGGTCAAGAGCTCCCCAGGTTTGGCTCTTTCTATCCCGATGGCATAGATGACAATGCCATGTGCCCTAAGTTTCCTGGACACTTCATCAAGTTCTGCTGCATCATGGGAGTCCCCGTCGGTTATCACTATGAGAACCTGGGGGACACTGCGGCGCTTGCGGCTGCCATGCTCCTCTGAGAAAAGGCCTTCTGAATACCTCAGAGCCTTGGCTGTGTAGGTCGTTGTCCCAATAGGCTTATCATTCTGGATAGCCTTAATGATTTCCGATTTCGTGCTGTAGGTGTTGAGAAAGAAAAAGGTTTCTGGCTCGGCAGAATATTTGACAGCTCCGAACTGGACTCGGTCCTGGCTGACATCCGATTTCTTCACCAAAGCGATCATGAAGTCTTTCATAATGTCGTATTCTCTGGGATCGATGCTTCCAGAACCATCAATGACGAAAACAATGTCTAGGCGCTCGATTCTCCTGCACTCTGAAAGAATAACAGTGAGAATTGGTCACTAACGTGTGCCCTAGACAAATCTTCATAGAAGTTTCCCTTTGTTGCAGGTAGGAATGGACAAATTTGTCACTTTCAGTTCTCGTGGTTTCTCATGTTTACAAAGTTAGACTCCACATTTCCGCAACAATTTGTGAATTTTAGTTGCAACAATCACCCAGGAAAATTCATCAGCATTTTTTCTCCTAATAAACACATTTTTGTATGCAGCTTTGAGTAATATACACGTTTTTGCAAGCAACATCCCCTGCTATGATGCACTTTGTATGTTATCTTCAGTAATATATGGATTTGTATGCATACTTTACATGTGCATTTTTGGACACATTCTTGGCTGCAGGATTGCAAAATTCAGAGAAGCGGCACTTTTGAAGGATTGCTGCATTTCAGCTCTCCTTTTGCTTCAGGAAGTGCAAATTAGATAAGATTGCATTTAGGTGTGAAGTGAATTTCTCCTCCATCCTTAACTGCAAACAAGACTTGCTAGTTTAGTTGCAAGCTATTCCAAGATCTTCATCAAACACGCTATTTAAGGTCATGCAATTTAAAGCTATAAATATGCACAGTTGTATGTCAAAGCCTTATGCCAGGACTGCTGGGAGGCCAGATGGACATACCTGTTTTGGATGATAAATTCTGAGTACCATTATATAATATTAATGTGTCCATTGATTCTGTTATTATGATATCTAATTTCTTAATCAACTACAGTCACCAGAATGCTTGCAATGAAGGGCATGCCTAGCCTAGGGCATGATGGGATACGGTAGGTGGAGAGGATGTTAGAATTCCTGCTCCATGATGGCTGAACTCCTGACAGAGGAGACATACTGAGATTAGGGGGAATTCAGTCACTAGGGCACAAGACAACCTTAGACGGTTCGAAGCTGAAGTCGAATGCAGAGGACTTTTTACGATGCCTCTAATCCTCTCCGAAAGCGGTCCTCAAAGCTTTTAGAAAACTTGAACCAATTTATTGTCTTACAGAACCAACAGGCTTCCTCTTATGATCTGAATTCACAGGATTGTTCCCATTACAAAAAAAAGGGGGGGGAATAAACATTGGAAATAACAGTCCCTGTTAAGTATGGGATTGGTTCGCTTACCTAACCCTGAACATTGAGCAGATATGAGCACAAATCTTTCCCATATTATGATCTTGGCCGCAGGAATAATTTATAGGGACTTAATAATAATAATAATAATAATAATAATAATAATAATAATAATACATTTTATTTATATCCCGCCCTCCCCAGCCGAAGCCGGGCTCAGGGCGGCTAACAACAATAAAACAGTACAACAACACAACACTCTAAAATCATTCATTATAAAATTAATTCAAATCAAACCAATGACCACCATTGGGCCAGAGCTCCGCGAAGATTGCCGAAGGAGGGAGTCAGGCTGTGCCCTATTAACTCTCTTCTAAACCAACATTTTGACATGAGCCAACACCTTTATTAAGGATTGAAATATAAGGTTTTGTCGCGGCTAAACCTGTTCCCTAACAGAGCTACTAACACCATTCGAATACTTACATTATGTCTACATTTATCATCTGGGCCTTATCAAAGGGGCTCGATGTTCTAATATGCTCCTTATTCTTTCTTACATGTGGTTATGTTTATGTCTCTCAAAGGAGACTTTATAAAATAAGCCCTCTCTTCCGCACCATGTGTTTTAGTTTAACAAGACAGCTTTATCTGCAGCAGTAAAGGGTTGGATCCAAAGAACCGGGAGAGGAAATTAAATAGCTGCAAGTGCTGTTCCATGAACACTTGCAGTGCTATAACTGACAGCTGGGATAGCTCAGTCAGTAGAGCATGAGACCCTTAATCTCAGGGTCAAGCCCCACATTGGGCAAATTATTCCTGCATTGCAGGGGGTTGGACTAGATGACCCTCACGGTCCCTTCGAACTCTACGTTGCTATGATTCTAAGGTTTATGAATAGGTAAAGTAAAGGTAAAGGGACCCCTGACCATTAGGTCCAGTCGTGGCCGACTCTGGGATTGCGGCGCTCATCTTGCTTTATTGGCCAAGGGAGCCGGTGCACAGCTTCTGGGTCATGTGGCCAGCATGACTAAGCCGCTTCTGGCGAGCCACAGCAGCGCACGGAAATGCCGTTTACCTTCCCGCCGGAGCGGTACCTATTTATCTACTTGCACTTTGATGTGCTTTTGAACTGCTAGGTTGGCAGGAGCAGGGACCGAGCAACGGGAGCTCACTCCGTCGCGGGGATTCGAACCGCCAACCTTCTGATCGGCAAGTCCTAAGCTCTGTGGTTTAACCCACAGTGCCACCCACATCCCTATGAATAGGTAGGTTGGGTTTGATAGCAATTCTCATCCTTCCACCTGTGCCAAGGGTCCTGAGAAAGCAAAGATGCACCACGAAACCGCATGGTGATCTCCTTTTCACCTGTACTGTCAGTATCATCAGTACAAAGCTATAGGGCGAAAAATAGAGAAGGAATAGGAGGACAAGGGGAATTATTCCAAAGGGACTGTCCTTGAGTGTGATAGATGACAAAACGAGCAGAGTTACTACAGCTCAATGCTACAATGACTTCCCTCCTTCCAACTCAAGAGACCAGAAAAACCTTCAAAACTCTTTCTGCACTGTGTGATTCTGGGACAACAAACCTGGAAAGGCGCCATCTGAAACCATGCCAATATACATAAAGATTGGTGTATTCATTGAAAGCTGCTGTACACTCTGTTGTCTAAAATGTATAAAATATTATTGGAATGGGAGACAAAGGATGAGCAAGTAAAATCCTCAATGATACACTGGGCAATAGATATCAGTCATAATATACCGTATTTTTCGCCCTACAGGACGCACGTTTTCCCCTCCAAAAATGAAGCGCCCTGTGCTTTGCGCAGATGTCCGCAAGCCTTGTGGGCAACAGCCTGTTCTGGGGGCTGGGGTTGGGGGAAGCATGGGCTTCCCCCGCCCCCAGCCCTGCAAGCAAGCTCCGGGAGCGATGGTGAGGGTGCGCAACCTCGCCATCGCTCCCGGACCCCCAGCCCCGAGGCTAAAAATGAAGCCAGGACAGAGAGCGGGATCCATCCCGCTCACTGTCATGGCTTCTTTGCTCTTTGGGGCTCGGGGGGGGAATAATTCTTTTCATAAAATAACCTTTTCATAAAAGAATGGAAATGGTTTATTGAATATTTACAAACCAACTGGAAATAGATAAAAACATTGGCAGGATTATTGTAATAACCTGCAGTTTCATAAGAGTATATATTTAAAGTAGATAATAAAATGAGCAAATTCAATGCATTCAGATATGCAGAAGATTTTTTTAAAAAAAATTAAGGAACCGCAGAAAGAGGGGGAAGGAAGTCAAACTTTGAAATGTTAGATTGATTGTAAAACTAATGAAATGTATACAGTGGTACCTTGGGATGCGAACGGGATCCGTTCTGGAGCCCCGTTCTCATCCTGAAGCGAACGCAATGCGCGTCTGCGTATGCGCAGGTCATGTTTTGCCGCTTCTGCGCATGCGCGTGACATCATTTTGAAACTTGAAAAGCAGAAATAAAAACCTTTTTAAAAAGAAAGCTGCTGTACACTCACCATCGTACGGACTGCATATTCCAAAGAGGATCTCACGTTCTAAGTGCTTCAGAACGTCGAAGTCCTCCACATAAAACACCATTTCAGGCTTTCCACTTATCTCCACCAGCTGAGTTTTATTTGCGCTGAACACCCCCAAGGAGTAGATGACAACACTTTGCTCTCTCAAAGCCTCTGCGGGTCCTCTCACCTCATCCTGCGCTTCCCCATCAGTGATCAGAATCAGAATTTTCTTGACATGGGGCCTTGCCCCTTTGGCGGGCTTAAAATAATCGGACACGAATCGCAATGCTTCCCCTGTGAGCGTGTTCTGTCCCATAGGAGACATTCTCCCAATAGCGCCAATGATGTCTCTCTTCGATGAGTACTGGTTGAGTCGGAATTCTTCTTGGCTTCTGCCACTGAACTGCACAACACCAATGTGCACTCTGTCGGGACCAATGTCAGATTTGCTCACGAGGTCCATCATGAAGTCCTTCATTTTCACAAAGTTCTCAGGGCCTATACTGCTGGAGCTGTCCACCAGAAACAGAACGTCAGCTTTCTTCTCTTTGCAGGCTGTTTCAGAAAAACATGAACACATATGGATGAGAGATGGCCACAACAAAGATAGCTGTGATGGCCTGGGATTCGGACTCGGATGCTGAACCTGAGGGATTCCAGCCTGCACAGGATTCCCTGCCTCCAGAACCAGCTGAGCCGGGGCTGGGGCCTGAGCCTGAAGGGTCCTCACCTGTCCTGGATCCTCAGGTTCAGGCATCAGCTGAGCCTGCTCTGGCTCCTGAGGTGATGGAGGACCCATTGCCTGCAGGTGCTCCATTCTCAGCCCGGTCAGAGGAAGCTGAGGTTGCCTCTGGGTCCGGTAACCCTCCAGTCTCTCCTGAGCTGCAGAGGCTCAGGGCAGAGAGGCGGAGGGAACTAAGTTCCCGCAGGAGGAGTGCTCGCCTCCAGGCCAGGAGAGGCGAGTCACCTGTGGACCGGGGCCACCCTATGCCTCGGGGCTGATAAAAGCCGGCCAGCCCCAGTCCCAAGTTGCGGGAGCAACATTGTTGGAAGCCAGTTCCTGCCTGGACCCTGTCCTGCTTTCCTGCCTGAGCTCCTGACCTGCCCTGGCTCCCTGCTTGCATGCCTGTTCCCTGACTTCACCCGACTCCCTGCCCTGCACCCAGCTTCAGCTACTACGGACTGCCTCCACGTTGCACCTCTGACCACGGACCGGACTTGGGCCTCGCCTCTCGGGTAACCCACGGGACCAGCACACTGGCATTACAAAACTGAAGCCAAAAGGAAACACAGCCATGTGCAGAGCTGAGTGCACTACTGAAAAGCACTTATACATCGCCATCATCCCCTCTCAGCCATGAAGCCCACTGTGCAATATTGAGCCAGTCTCTGTCTCTCTCTCAGCCTAACCTTCCCCACAGGGTTGAAATTCTACTCAATAATGACCCAGAGCAGAACTCCGACATATAGCTGGCAGTGTGAAAACTTAAACATGTTGCAGGATTCCCAAAAAATACATCAGAGGCAATTATATTTTATCCAGCTGAGCGTTACTGCTACTGAAGGCAAATGAGCATAAGGGTCACACATCCAAGACATTAAGGATAGGCACTGTCCATAAGAAATCCAGTTGTGGCAGACTTAACTTAAACTTACAATAACTTATAATGAGTCTAAACCTTAACACTAGCATACTATGTACGGAACACCACACCAGAAGGAAGAGAGATAGAAAGTGAAACCTAGGCTCCTTCTGGCCTACAGTGGTACCTCGGGTTACAGACACTTCAGGTTACAGAAGCTTCAGGTTACAGACTCTGCTAACCCAAAAATAGTACCTCGGGTTAAGAACTTTGCTTCAGGATGAGAACAGAAATCACGCGGCGGTGGTGCGGCGGCAGCAGGCGACCCCATTAGCTCAGGTTAAGAACAGTTTCAGGTTAAGAACCAACCTCCAGAACGAATTAAGTTCTTAACCCGAGGTTACACTGTTTTATTATAGTCAGCATGACCTTGACAGAATGAGATAAGAGAACCACCTGTACTCAGTCACCTGTACTCAGCTTCTCTGAAGGAATAACCCAAACATCATGAACATTCCACTTGTTTCTTTCGCACAGAGAAGCTTCCAGAAGCATCTTTAAGTAGAATAGGAAAGATCTCTACACACCAGATCAATACTTTCTGCACTAAGAAATGCAAACTGGCAGTTGTGAGGATAAAACAAGGGTCGGAGAATGACCTTGAATCTTTTGGATGAAATGTGTAATGGAAATGCAATAATGAATACAAAAATACAGTTCAGCTAGGAAGGTGAGCTGACAAGGATCTTAAAAGCTTGGACAAAATACAGTGGTACCTCTGATTATGAACTTAATTCGTTCCAGAGGTCCGTTCTTAACCTGAAACCATTCTGAACCTGAGGTACCACTTTAGCTAAGGGGGCCTCCCGCTGCCGCCGCGCCGCCGGCGTGTGATTTCTGTTCTCATCCTGAGGTAAAGTTCCTAACCTGAGGTACTACTTCCGGGTTAGCGGAGTCTGTAACCCGGGGTGTTTGTAACCCGAGGTACCACTGCACACTTGAAGGTCCCACCAAAATCTTCAACAGGAGAGGACAAGAGAGTATCCATACCCTTTGCATGGGAGTTCCCAATCTAATCAAAAGCCACACTGTGTCACCTTTCAAGTCCGCTTACCTTGTTGGGTGGGCGGCATTGCGGCTGGGCCCTTGGTCTTGCATGACCCAGCTGAGGGCTGGAGACTGATGTGCTCCCTGCCATCACCTCCCTGCACCATCAAGTCCTGGGTGGGACCCCACTCAAGCAGTGAACCTCGCCAACCATTCAGCACTGATGGGGGAGGGGGTTTCCGTGGGGAATTTAAACTCCGGCACAACATTCTTGTGCCCTCCAACCCACCTCGCCCTCTTTTTCTGCTTTGATGCTTGCTATGGACTAATCGTCGGTCGCCATATTGTTGGGACCGGGCAGGATTTTTTTCCACTTGCAAATTGGCTCTGCCATTTCGTTTTCGCCTACCTCGTAGCAACTGGCACAAATTTGTGAGGTTAGGCCTTTGTTTAGATGGAGGGGAGGTTGCAGCCTCAGCTTGCCCCTCTTCATTAAAGATATCCTGTTGAAGGGATCTGGGAGTGTGGGTTCTGTCCAATGCCCAGATATGAGCTAGGGCCATGCCACTACCCCAATTGGGACTCGTCGGGCTGCTCCTATTTGATGTACCGTATTTTTCGCACCATAGGACGCACTTTTTCCCTCCTAAAAAGCAAGGGAAAATGTGTGTGCGTCCTATGGAGCGAATGCAGGCTTTCGCTGAAGCCTGGAGAGTGAGAGGGGTCGGTGCGCACCGACCCCTCTCGCTCTCCAGGCTTCAGGAAGCTATCCGCTAGCCGCTGCTAGCGGAGCGCTGCATTAATCCCGAAGCTTGGGGCGCGCGGAGCTCAGCGCGCCCCAAGCTTCTGGGTGCCGGCAAGGTCTCGCTAGCCCTGGGAGAGCCCCGCGACGTTGCGTGGCTCTCCCAGGGCTAGCGAAGCGCCGCGCTAATCCCGAAGCTTGGGGCGCGCGGAGCTCAGCGCGCCCCAAGCTTCTGGGTGCCGGCAAGGTCTCGCTAGCCCTGGGAGAGCCCCGCGATGTTGCGTGGCTCTCCCAGGGCTAGCGTAGCGCTCCGCTAGCCGTGTCTAGGCTGCGGATAGCAGTCGTGTTTCCCGGAGCGCCGGGCGCCCTGAAAGCAGAGCTCCAGGCGCTTCGGGAACACATCCGCAGCGTGGGGAGCCTTGCAGGAATTCCCCACAGGGCTCCCCACGCTGCGGATAGCAGCCTGCTGCCTGGCGGGTGGGGCGCCCTGAAGCAGAGCGCCCCTCGCGCCAGGCAGACATCCGCAGAGTGGGGAGGCTTGCAGGAGTTCCCCACAAGGCTCCCCACGCTGCGGATAGCAGCCTGCTGCCTGGCGGGTGGGGCGCCCTGAAGCAGAGCGCCCCTCGTGCCAGGCATACATCCGCAGAGTGGGGAGCCTTGCAGGAGTTCCCCACAGGGCTCCCCACGCTGCGGATAGCAGCCTGCTGCCTGGCGGGTGGGGCGCCCTGAAGCAGAGCTCCCCGCCCGCCGGACAGACATCGGCCAGCCCCACAAGCTTGGAGGACAGCAGGGAGGCGCAGCGCCACTATCCCGCTGTTCCTCGACCTGGTTCGGTTTCCCTGACCTGCTTTTGGGGGGGAAATAAAGGGGAAATTTTTTCCTTTATTTCCCCCCCAAAAAACTAGGTGCGTCCTATGGTCCGGTGCGTTCAATCGTGCGAAAAATACGGTAAGTCTTAGGTCTCCCCCTATCGGTGCTTTAACCTTAGTTGGAGCCCCAGCAGACTGGTGGGAGTCAAGATATAGTCTGGGCTTCACCCAATGTCTAAGCCAAACCTCTAACATCTATAACCAATAAAGTTGTGGCCTATCTGAACCCATAAACCAAATTCTGCTTGTTTTATTTATCCACCAGAGGACCGTGGGTCACGGGCCCTTGGTACGCAATTGAATCTCTCTTTAACAAGAATAATTTTACACCCCGCTTGAAGCCCAGGCACCCATCTTTTTTCTTCCTTTTTAAAGCAGAAACAGGATATTCATCTCTCTTTGGTTCACCTGAAAATCTATCCACATAGCATGCCATTAATGTCTTATGGGACTGTTTTGGATCTTTTCCCTGAAGCATTTCCCCCTAGCAATTTATTGTATTTCTGCAAATCTCAGGGTTCTTTCAAGTATGCCAGTATCTCCTAAGCACATTTGGGCTATTTAAGAGCAGGCATTCTCCCCTGTAGTTTAAAAGTAAAATATAAGATGATTTTTCTTACCTTCTACGGCACAGATCTCTCGGACAACTTCATTCTTTATATGCTTCAGAGAGGCAAAATCGTTGACAGAATAAGCTCTGTCCTTTGACTCTGCGATCTCATAAATCTGTGACTCGTTAGCGTGTCTGACACCGATGGCATAAATGTTGACCATTTCATTCCTCAACCTCTTGGCAGGTCCCTCAACGTGGTCCTCTGATTTCCGGTCAGTTAGCACTATCAGATGGCAGGGAACACTTCGGGAGTGTTGACCTTGTGACCTTCTTAGCAAGGGCTGGATGGATGTCAAAGCTGCTCCTGTGTAAGGACTGCCACCTATTTGACGGATGTTATCAATGGCTTTCAATATATCACTTGCTTTACCATATTCCTCAAGTCCGAATTCCAGCTCGTTCATGTCTGCATATTGAACCACTCCAAAGCGAACTTTATTCGGTCCTATCGGGAAAAATCTAACCACTTCTTTCAAAAACAACTTCAGGTCCACAAAATCGAAATAATCGAGGTTTGAGGAACCATCGATGAGAAAATAAATATCTGCTTCTTCTGTATCCACGCAGCCTATGGGGGAGAGAATTTTGGTGATGCGTTTAATAATTCAAACAATAAATTTATCCTGTGGGTTGTTTTGTTTGTTTGTTTTAAAAAAGCACACAACACTTGAGATGGCTGAATCTCAAGGTTTCTTTCTGTATCACATTTCCCCCAAACTTAAATTCATTTTCAGCATTTCCACATCAGCCTGCAAATCCCCCCCAAAAAAGTCTTCATAAACATGCACCAGCATTTTCATGGGAAATTTTTCATGCACATGTCTGCAGAGCAATATCCCATAACGTCACACGTTTTTGTATGCTACCTTCACTAATCTGGGCATTTTATGTGCACTTTACCCTAGTACAGTGGTACCTCGGGTTACAAACACCTCGGGATACAGACACTTCAGGTTACAGACCCAGGTGGGCAGGGTATAAAATTAATAATAATAATAATAATAATAATAATAATAATAATAATAATGTTCACCTAAGCACTTTTTTGGGACGTGGGTGGTGCTGTGGGTAAAAGCCTCAGTGCCTAGGGCTTGCCGATAGAAAGGTCGGCGGTTCGAATCCCCGCGGCGGGGTGCGCTCCCGTTGCTCAGTCCCAGCACCTGCCCACCTAGCAGTTCGAAAGCACCCCCGGGTGCAAGTAGATAAATAGGGACCGCTTACTGGCAGGAAGGTAAACGGCGTTCCGTGTGCTGTCCTGGCTCGCCAGATGCAGCTTCGTCACGCTGGCCACGTGACCCGGAAGTGTCTGCGGACAGCGCTGGCCCCCGGCCTCTTGAGTGAGATGGGCGCACAACCCCAGAGTCGGACACGACTGGCCCATACGGGCAGGGGTACCTTTACCTTTTTAAGCACTTTTTAATTCACATGTGTAATTTAACGTGTGCATGCAACAAACATGCATTTTGAAGAACATGCATCATAGAACATAATATGAGTTTGTGGGACCAGGCCAATGGCTCATCTAGTTCAGCTTCCTTTTCTCACAGTGGCAAACCAGATGGCTATAGGAAGTTTGCAAGCTGGGAATGAGCACAACCACACTCTTCCCAGTTGCAATTCCCATCAAATTGCATTCAGACACATAATATACTGAACATAACCATTATGTCTAGTAGCCATTGGCCAGGGAGCCAGGGTTGGCCAAGTGTTGAGTCTACACTTGTTAGGAAACCCAGGTTTGCTGTTGCTGCTGCATATGTGATATGGTCCTGATCTGTTGCTACATGACATTGCAGCAAGAAGACAGAACACTTTCTCTTCTATGGAGTGCTCCTTTTCTCCCGCAACCTCTTCCAATGAGATCAGTGTGATCTATTAGTTTCTCTACAAATGGGGATGGGACATATTCTTGGGCTCAGGCCAGGTTCCTCCTTATTGCCCTGCTCCCATCCTGCCTTGATAAATATTTGAAGCAGCAAGAAGCTTCTGTGAGCTTTGTGGGAGAACACAACCTCAGCAGGCCCCGTGGATCCCTCCGCAGCTCTCTGAATTGGGCCAACAAAATGTTAGCAAGTAATTGTAAGAAACCATATTTTCCCCGATCCCCCACATTTTTAAATGGAAGGGGAGAGTCATTCTTATCAGAACATGCGTTCCTGTTCACATGGCTCTCTTCATAGTCATACTGAGATCATCCAAAAGTTATTATATTCCAGGATTAATCTCACAGTGATGTCTGTGGATCCTCATGATATAGCAGCAGGCCTTTGGGGGAGTGCCATAACTCAGTGATATGTGTGCAGAAGGTCTCAGGATCAAGCCCTAATATCTCTAGTTCAGGTTGAGGGAGATTTCTGGCTCAAACCCTGGAGAGCCATTGCCAGTCGGCTGAAATTCCCAGAAACTAGAGACTGGTTCCAGAGTCCGTGACAGACAGAAACAAGAGGGAGATCTGCAAAGGTGCTGCAAAACTAGTCAAACGTTGTATCTTGAGCTCTTTTTTCAAGAGAGATGGGAAGCAGGGCTCACACCATCAGCTCTGGTGTGACGGGCCAACTCCTTCAGGCCTCCTTTCCCTCAGGGAGCAGCTATTCCATCAGGCTGCCTCAGTGGGAGAGATAGGAAGAAAGGCTCATTCCACCCGCTTTGCTGAAAGCCGGGCTGTGCCATGCACTTCCTGTCCCTGAATTGCACAAAAAAATGGTCACTATAAGAACAACAGTTCAAGAATTGGTGCCTGAATTTTCGTTTCCTCCTACTTCCTTCGCTGTCCCTTTTCCCTTGTGTGACCTTTTATTTTAGATTGTAAAGGACTCATTTTAATTGACTGGATGTAAATCATCCTGGGAGACTTTTTGACAGAAGAGCAGGATACAAATGTTCTACATAAATAATAGTATAATAGATTATGCTATTTTCCCTTTTTAGCTTTTTCAAGGGAGAGCATGCTGTTGTTTTTGTTTGGCTTCCTGCTTTCCAGTCTGCTATTGTCACATTTTTTTAGAGCCAAATGATGATGATGATGATGATGATGATGATGATAATAATAATAATAATAATAATAATAATAATAATAATAATAATTTATTTATACCCCGCCCATCTGGCTGGGTTTCCCCAGCCACTCTGGGCAGCTTCCAACAGAACATTAAAATGCAATAACCTATTAAACATTAATAATAATAATTTATTAAATGAAAATTCAGGCACCAAATGAGTCTTCTGCAACATCTCTGGAGATGTTTTTCTTGCTTTTGCTGAGGAACTAGAGCGTTGCAACTCTCCTGAAACAGCGTAAGACGACAAGTTACCTCTTTTAAGCAGTTCTGCTCTTTTGTTGTCCATGTAGAGCTTTCGTTGCACCTGATTCACCACCTTCTTATGAAAAACGAGAGCCTGGCGTGGCAAGTGGGGAAATGTTTTCAGGTGGGTCACGTACTGTTGTGACGGGTACGCAGCTATCTGGGTTAACTGAGTGACATCAGCCTTTTCGACGCCAATTGCGAACACCGTCACACCTGCTCTCCTGAGAACGGTTGCAGCATTGCCCACCCCATCTTCTGAAGGCCTGTGAGTGATAAGAATGGCTATTTGTTCCACCCCCTGGGTCTTCCTGCTTCCGGAACTTTCCGTGAAAACTTTCTCCCTTGTGAAATGAATGGCCAAGCCAACGTTGGCCTTTCCTGCCTTGGGAGAAAGACTTTGTATGTGCTGCAGAACATTCGTCTTATCCATTTCCATCCGCAGTAAAAATATCACCTCGGGTTTAGTGCTGAACGTCACCAGGCCAACCTTTATGCATTTCTCCTTCACATCCAGAGAAGACACCAGCTTTTCCAAAAATATTTGAATCTTCTCAAATTTGTTTTGCGGAGGACCCGCATCCACTATGAAAACCACGTCAGCGACTGCATCGTCATCGCAAGCTGCAGTGGGAAGAAAACGCAGAATTAAACATTGGCTATTGCTTGGCTCCCCTTCATGCCGTGGCGAAGGGCCTTGCTTCTTGGGAAAAAAGCAATGACAAACCTAGACAGCATCTTAAAAAGTAGAGACATCACCTTGCCAACAAAGGTTTGCAATAGGTATGCTGCATTATATCGCTTTTTCATATATTTTGTGTTGATTCTGAAACTGAAACTTCAGTAGTTTTTTTGGAAATAAATAACAAACCATTGAAAAGGGAGAAAAGCAATGACAAACCTAGACAGCATCTTAAAAAGCAGAGACATCACCTTGCCAACAAAGGTCCGTATAGTTAAAGCTATGGTTTCCCCAGTAGTGATGTATGGAAGTGGACCATATGTGATGTATGGAACTGGACCATAAAGAAGTGATGTATGTGAAGAAGTGGACCATATGTGATGTACGGAACTGGACCATAAAGAAGGCTGATGGCCGAAGAATTGATGCTTTTGAATTATGGTGCTGGAGGAGACTCTTGAGAGTCCCATGGACTGCAAGAAGATCAAACCTATCCATTCTTAACGAAATCAGCCCTGAGTGCTCACTGGAAGGACAGATCCTGAAGCTGAGGCTCCAATACTTTGGCCACCTCATGAGAAGAGAAGACTCCCTGTAAAAGACCCTGATGTTGAGAAAGATGGAGGGCACAAGGAGAAGGGGACGACAGAGGATGAGATGGTTGGACAGTGTTCTTGAAGCTACCAGCATGAGTTTGACCAAACTGCGGGAGGCAGTGGAAGACAGGAGTGCCTGGCGTGCTCTGGTCCATGGGGTCACGAAGAGTCGGACACGACTAAACGACTAAACAACAACAACAAATTGCTTGGCTATTCTGAGCCAGTGAAACTGCCTTCGCAATGGCGCAGCCATGCTCAACCATCCCAAGGGATCTGTTCTCTGCTGCAGGCCAGGGATGAGGAATTTTGGGCCCTCCAGATGTCCCACCCAGCGCTGTAGCTAGCTGCTCGGGTGCCTGGTGCAGGGAGGGGTGTCCTGCAGCTGGGGGCGGGGCATGTTAGGATATAGTTCCATTCCACCTTAAAAGGGTACAGGCATGACGTTTGTGTATCACATGCCTGTTTACTCCCAGCACAGTTTGCTGGGAAATTCTGTTGTATGTAGCTTTTCATACCCAGCTCTACCTCTCTTTCAAATCAGAACCAGTGAAGGCGGTGAAGGTCCTGTGTGAGTGTCTGGAGGCGGTTGGAGGATGGATGGTGGCTAACAGATTGAGGTTGAATCCTGACAAGACAGAAGTACTGTTCTTGGGGGGACAGGGGGCGGGCTGGTGTGGAGGACTCCTTGGTCCTGAATGGGGTAACTGTGCCCCTGAAAGACCAGGTGCGCAGCCTGGGAGTCATTCTGGACTCACAGCTGTCCATGGAGGCGCAGGTCAATTCTGTGTCTAGGGCAGCTGTTTACCAGCTCCATCTGGTACGCGGGCTGAGACCCTATCTGCCAGCGGACTGTCTTGCCAGAGTGCTGCATGCTCTAGTTATCTCCCGCTTGGACTACTGCAATGCGCTCTATGTGGGGCTACCTTTGAAGGTGACCCGGAAACTACAACTAATCCAGAATGCAGCAGCTAGACTGGTGACTGGGAACGGCTGTGGAGACCACATAACACCGGTCTTGAAAGACCTACATTGGCTCCCAGTACGTTTCTGAGCACAATTCAAAGTATTGGTGTTGACCTTTAAAGCCCTAAACGGCCTCGGTCCAGTATACCTGAAGGAGTGTCTCCACCCCCATTGTTCTGCCCGGATGCTGAGGTCCAGCGCCAAGGGCCTTCTGGCGGTTCCCTCATTGCGAGAAGTGAGGTTACAGGGAACCAGGCAGAGGGCCTTCTCGGTAGTGGCGCCCGCCCTGTGGAACGCCTTCCTATCAGATGTCAAAGCGATAAACAACTACCTGACATTCAGAAGACATCTTAAGGCAGCCCTGTTCAGGGAAGCTTTAAATGTGTGACATCTTAGTGTATTTTTGGTCTCTGTGGAAGCTGCGCAGAGTGGCTGGGAAACCCAGCATCTCACTTCTTACCTTCTATAACTGTCCCATTATTTACTTTGTCCTCAGCTCTCTTGCTTGTTAGGTCTGGGTGGTTGTTGTCACCTACGTGAATGGCATCTACGATTCCGGAAATGTTCTGAGAAAATAAAATGAGTTCTTCTGTTCTAGGAAAAAAGAAGCTAAATGGTTTTGTGGCCATCTGAATTAGTTCATCGTAGGAAGCATCCTCCATGCCCAGTGCAAGGACCTTCACTCCTGCTTTGTGCAACAATTGGGCACTTTCTTCTACATCATCACCAGATGGTTGAGACGTCATCACAACCAAAATCTTGGACCGGTCCCTTTCATGGGTTGGCTTCCCGTAATAGGTCTCATGAATCTTCCGGAGAGCAGTACCAGTTTTCAAGGGCCCACCTCTGAACACAACTTTGTTTTTGATATGGTTCAACATTGGAATCTTCCCTTTATAGGTATCCAGTTGGAATTCATTGTATACTTGATCGTTATACTGGGCAAGTGCAACACGATACTCATTAGTACCTAGCGGTAAACCATCGATGACTTTGCTGATAAATGTTTTGACATGGTGTGAAGACGTATTGCTGCTAGCAACCAAAAAAACAATATCGGCAGGCTGGGGGGCTAAAAAGGAAGAAAGGAAAGGAGCAAGATTAAGGAATCAATACTCAATCTTCAAGTGTTCATTTCTCACAGAGAGCGAGAAAATAGTACAATAACTAAGGTGGAGTCTAGCAGTCTAAGGGGCTCACAGACTTTACCATGACTGTTTGAAGTGGTATCACAGTGTTTTAAATATATGGGGTGAATGGCCTCAGTCCAGGTATGTTTTATTGGTTGGGTGTCCCAAAGTTCTCCTGTACCTCCCATAACTATATCCAGGATTTTTTGTTCCATCAGTCAATTAACATGTGCTAGGGGCACATCTGGACGTATGAAAACTGTGCCTGGTGTTTTACTCAGTTGTAAAGGTAAAGGTAAAGGTAAAGGGGCCCCTGACCATTAGGTCTAGTCGTGGCCGATTCTGGGGTTGCGGCGCTCATCTCGCTTTATTGGCCAAGGGAGCTGGTGTACAGCTTCCGGGTCATGTGGCCAGCATGACTAAGCCGCTTGTGGTGAACCAGTGCAGCGCACGGAAACGCCGTTTACCTTCCCGCTGGAGCGGTACCTATTTATCTACTTGCACTTTGACGTGCTTTCGAACTGCTAGGTTGGCAGGAGCAGGGACCAAGCAACGGGAGGTCACCCCGTCATGGGGATTCGAACCGCTGACCTTCTGATCAGCAAGTCCTAGGCTTTGCGGTTTAACCCACAGCGCTACCCGCGTCCCATCAATTGCTCAATTGTACAAACATATTAATTGTGATATTCTGTTTTTTCAGAGGAGCAAACATGACCATTTTAAAACAAGAAAACAGTGACATACCTGGTTTATGACCCATCGACGTCTGAGCCTCAGTAACGATGAAAATAAACACCAAAAACATCTTCATATTTTGCGCAAGTTGTTAAGTGTTTGCTACGGAGGGAAAAACAGACAATCTCATGCACTGGTTCATCATGGGTTTAATTCAAAATAGCAACATGAAGACCTTGGCTGGAGATATGAAAACAATCCCCTTTGAATCTGCTGTCCGGAGTGACTTTTTCATCTTCCTTTATGGCATTTACATATGTCCCTATGTAAGTTAACGCGGGACAGAACCACACATTATGAATGCCTCTGGCTGCTATTAAAAGCATAGCCACACATCTCATCCTCTCTGCCAATAACATCTAGAAACCAAAACACCCTCATTTTACAAGTTTCTGCCAGATCCCACAGGAGAGTTCCCAAGACCACTTCTTCTTTGATCGGTGATTAATTTAGATAAAAAGCTACTGTTTGGTTCTAATCTTCACAGTCAATAAGGCACTTGGCATCTGTCTATCTCTAGAGACAATGGAGTTTGCCCCTGGGGGTGAATTCAAACAGCTGCATTAGGAGCACCAAAGTGACCTCCCCAGGGCGCAAGCGTGGGCATTGTGTATGAAGGTCCTGGGCTGCCCAGATGACAAGTACACAACGCATCACAAAGCAGATGACCTCATAATATAAGGCTTGGAAACCAAGCCTTATGAGCAATGGTTGAAGGAGCTGGCTATGTTGAGGCTGGAAAAGAGGAGACTGAGAGGAGATCATCTTCAAATATCTCAAGGGCTGTCACATGGAAGATTGAGCATGCTTGTTTTCTCCTGCTCCATAGGGTGGGACCCCCAAGCGATGGCTTCAAGTTACAAGAAAGGATATTCTGGCTAGACATCAGGAAGAACTTTCTGGCGGTAAGAGCAGTTTGACCGTGGAACGGTCTCCCTTGGGAGGTGGTGGACTCTCCTTCCTTGGATGTTTTTAAGCAGAGATTGGATGGCCATCTGTCAAGGATGCTTTAGTTGAGATTCCACTATTGCTGGTGGTTGGACTAAATGACCCTTGAGGAAGCTGTGGCTGAAGTTAAATCCTTTGAAGACAGCGGTCCTTTGGCTGGGTCGGGACAATATGGGATTGGGAGAGGCAATTCCCATCTCTTGTGGGGGTGCAATTAGTGCCAGCACCGTCCGTTAAGAGTTTGGGTGTAATCTTTGACACCTCCCTTTCTACGGAGGTGCAGATTGTAGCTATAACAAAGGCAACATTTTTTCATCTCCGCCAAGCTAAGCAGTTGGCTCCTTACCTCTCTCGCCCTGACCTAGCCACTGTGATCCACGCGACGGTCACCTCCAGACTTGATTATTGTAACTCGCTGTACGTGGGGCTGCCCTTGAGACTGACCCAGAAACTCCTGCGGGTACAGAATGCCGCGGCGAGACTCCTTATGAGGTCTTCGCTGTGGGATCACATTCACCCAGTGCTATACCAGCTGCACTGGCTCCCGGTGGAGTACAGGATCAGTTTAAGGTGCTGGTTTTAACCTTTGAAGCCCTATACAGCCTAGGACCCTCGTACCTACGGGACCGCCTCTCCTGGTATGTCCCACGGAGGACATTACGGTCTTCAAATAAAAACATCTTGGAGATCCCAGGCCGCAGGGAGGTTAGGCTGGCCTCAACCAGAGCCAGGGCTTTTCTGGCCGTGACCCTGATCTGGTGGAAGGATCTGTCACAAGAGACTAGGGCCCTGTGGGACTTGACATCTTTCCGCAGGGCCTGCAAGTCAGAGCTGTTCCACCAGGCCTTTGGCCAAGGCACAGTCTGACCCCCTCTCTCCTTCTGCAATCTTCACAGAACTCTAGCCCTATGGTTGCCACTAATTTGATTCTGAACTGATTTTAGAATGTATTTCAATTAATTGACTATGATTTTATGTAAACTGTGCTATTTTTACTGCTGTTAGCCGCTCTGAGCCCGGCTTTGGCTGGGGAGGGCAGGATATAAATATATTATTATTATTATTATTATTATTATTATTATTATTATTATTATTATCTTCCAACTCTACAATTCTATGATTCTATGGTGCACAACCACTTCATGGACAGCTGCTAATGAGAATTAGAGTCACTATTCCACTGTGGATTCATCAATGTATAACAAACATGGTTTATGCAGAATGTCAGCTGCATCCCATTGCTGACAGAGGGGGAGAGCTTGGAGAGACAGGAGGAGGTAATTAGGCAGGAATGCGGAACGAGGGAGGAGCAGCCAAGTTGCAGTAGAAGCCTGAGTTCCGAGAACAAGGAGAAGGGGGGGCAGTTCCAGGGAGAAGACACAGACTGACGGTTGAAGCTCGGACTCAGAGGGAGGGCCACTGGAAAAAGCCCATCCCATGACGCGCAGGCGAGCAAGAATTAATGAGAGGCGTGAACAGGAAAGGAAGTATAAGTGGGGCTTTAAAAGTGGGAAGAGGAAGGGGCGGAACTCAGACTCGGGCAACAGCTAATTTGGAAGTAGACGCTGAGTGACTGAGCTCCAGTGTGATTAATAATAATAATTTATTATTTATACCCCACCCATCTGGCTGGGTTTCCCCGGCCACTCTGGGTGGCTTTCAACAGAATATTAAAATACAATAATCTATTAAACATTAAAAGCTTTCCTAAACAGGGCTGCCTTCAGATGTCTTCTAAAAGTCTAGTAGTTGTTATTGACATCTGGTGGGAGGGCGTTCCACAGGGCGGGTGCCACTACCAAGAAGGCCCTCTGCCTAGTTCCCTGTAACTTGGCTTCTCGCAGTGAGGGAACTGCCAGAAGGCCCTCAGCACTGGACCTCAGTGTCTGGGCAGAACGATGAGGGTGGAGACACTCCTTCAGGTATACTTGACCGAGGCCATCTTGCGTGTTTTGAGCAATAAACCTGAGTTAATTGCTGCCGGAGTTGTCTCGCTTCTGTGGGAGAGACCCAACCATTACACAGAATGATGAAGTGAGCAGAATTTCTTAGAAACCTAGATAGAAATACAGTAGTATGAAGAGTATGATACTGTCTGTATTACTCTTAGTTTTTCTGGAGCAATGGAATGCTCAGAACATTTGTCATGTGAGCAACGAAAGATGTGGTAATGTCTGAAAAACCTATATTTGTTTTTCAGTGCTGTTAATGAGATTTGCCATCTTACAGGGCCTCATTTTTCAGTTCAATTTATTTTATTTTATTTTTTCTGGTGAATTTCTTACTTCTGCTTTAAAGCAGATGGCTTGGCATGACTCTAATTCACTTTGCTTATGGTATTAAGCACCATGAGCCAAGCTATGTTCTTGGACATCCTGGAATGCATTTTGGAGAATGAGGTTATATTAGTGACTTGAGGTAAAGTATAAGCAAGAGAGACAGTGATAAATGTTCCTTGGCTTTGTCTTCTTTTGAACATTTCCAAAATGTATTCTCAATCCTTATTTTTCATTATACAGCAGAAGTCCAGAATTAGCAGGGCAGGCAAGTAGGATGCAAGCCACACATGGTAAACATGGGCTTCAGTCAGAAGAGGTCTGTAGAAAACTCATGCCGTGCAAGTCCATTATATTTTATTAATTTTCAACATTTTTGAAATATACAATCAAAACCCAATTTCTTCTTTTCTCTAATTTTTGTTGACTTCCCACCCTGTTTTCCATGGAGTTGTTGTTTTTCCCTTTCTGCTGCACCCTATCTTCTGTCTTTAAAATCATAACCATGATTGTTGTTGTTTAGTCGTTTAGTCGTGTCCGACTCTTCGTGACCCCCTGGACCAGAGCACGCCAGGCACTCCTGTCTTCCACTGCCTCCCGCAGTTTGGTCAGACTCATGCTGGTAGCTTCGAGAACACTGTTCAACCATCTCGTCCTCTGTCTTCCCTTACTTCTTGTGCCCTCAGTCTTTCCCAACATCAGGGTCTTTTCCAGGGAGTCTCCTCTTCTTATGAGGTGGCCAAAGTATTGGAGCCTCAGCTTCAGGATCTGCCCTTCCAGTGAGCACTCAGGGCTGATTTCATATTATCATAACCATGATAATATAATCCAATTACTTCCTTTGCTCATCGCTCAAATCCTGCTCATGAGTTCATCATACTATAATATTTCTTTATTTTTTATGATGTTCAATTTTATGCATTTCAAAAAAATTTAAATCATTTTAACATTTCAAAACTTGACTTCCTTCCTCCTCTTTCTGCGGTTCTTCACATTTTTATATTTTCCGCATATTCCAAATCAGCTTAATTTACTAATTTAGTCATCTACTTTAAAGATATACTCTTATAAACTGCAGGCTATTACAACAATCCTGCCAATGTTCTTACCTGTTTACAGGTTTTTGTGTGTGTAAATAGTCAATAAACCATTTCCATTCTTTTATAAAAAGTTTGTTATCTTGATTTCTTTTTTTTCCTGGTAGGTTTCGCCATTTCTGCATATGCCGTGAGTTTTTGTATCCATTCTTCTTTCGCTGGGACTTCTTCTTCTTTCCCTTTTTGGGCAAGTAACATTCTTGCCACTGTAGTTGCATGCATGAATAAATTTCTATATAGTTTTCGCCCATTTACTATAATATTTCTTTAAGTAGTCTGAAAAAGGCAACCATTCTTCCATAAAGAACTCAGCATTAGGTTCTCTTAATTTTGCTGTCAATGTTGCCCGTTCTGCATTGTTCATTATCTTACTCATCCATTCTTTGGTGGGGACGACTTCTTCCTTCCATTTCAGCGCATAAAGAATCCTAGCTGCTTGTGCTGGGCCTGGCGGTTAACTCGAGCCACGCGGTCCAGGTCCGGTCCCGAATCCAAGGATTCCACAAGGAGTCAGTCCAACAGGGCCAAGGCAGGAAACCAGGCAAGGTCAGGCACGAGTTCTCAGGCAGGTTCCAGCAAGCAGCAATGTTGTTCCCACAACCTGGGGCGGGGCCCGACAGCCTTCTATCTTTGTCGGGGTAGCGGCCAGTCCTGATCCCCCGGTGACTCACCTCCCTGTTTTGCCCGAAGGCAAGCACTCCTCC